AGTAGAATTTTCAGCAGAAACCTTACAGGCCAGGAGAGAGTGAAATGACATGTTTAAAGTGCTGAAGGAAAAAACCTTTTACCCTAGAATAGCATATCTGGTGAAAATATCCTTCAAACATGAAGAAATAAAGACTTTCCTGGACAAACAAAGCTGAGAGATTTCATCAACAACCAGACCTCTCCTAAATGAAATGCTAAAGGGAGTAGGTCAATCAGAAAGAAAAAGTGTTAATGAGCAATAAGAAATCATCTGAAAGCATGAAACTCACTGGTAATAGTAAGTACAGAGAAAACCAGAATATTACAACATTGATACTGAGGTGTATAAACTACTACTATCCCAAGTAGAAAAACTAAAAGATGAACTCATCAAAAATAATAGCTACAGGCCAGTGCAGTGGCTCACACCTGTAATTCCAGCACTGTCAGAGGCCGAGGCAATCACTTGAGGTCAGGAGTTGGAGAACAGCCTGGCCAACATAATGAAACCCCATCTTTACTAAAAATACAAAAATTAGCTGTGTGTGGTGACATGCACCTGTGGTCCCAGCAACTTGGGAGGTTGAAGCACGTGAATCTCTTGAACCCAGGAGGAAGAGGGTGTAGTTAGCCAAGATGTGCCACTGCACTACAGCCTGGGCAACAGAGCGAGACTCCATCTCAAAAATAATAACAATAATAATAATAATAATTACAGGCCAGGCGCGGTGGCTCACACCTGTAATCCCAGCACTTTGGGAGGCTGAGGCGGGTGGATCACGAGGTCAAGAGATCGAGACCATCCTGGTCAACATGGTGAAACTCCGTCTCTACTAAAAATACAAAAAATTGGCAGGGCATGGTGGTGCGTGCCTGTAATCCCAGCTACTCAGAACTGAGGCAGGAGAATTGTCTGAACCTGGGAGGCGGAGGTTGCGGTAAGCCGAGATTGCGCCATTGCACTCCAGCCTGGGTAAAAGGAGCGAAACTCCGTCTCAAAAATAATAATAATAATAATAACTACAACAACTTTTTAAGATATAGTAAAATAAGATAAATATAGAAACAATAAAAATGTGGGGAGATGAAGTTAAGGTGTAGAGTTTTATTAGTTTTCTTTTTGCTTGTTTCTTTATGTAAACAGTGTGAAGTTGTTATCAGCTTAAAATAATGAGTTATAGGATAGTATTTGCAAGCCTCATGGTAACCTCAAATAAAAAAAAAAACAGATGCACAAAACATAAAAGACAAGAAATGTAATCATACCACCAGAGAAAATCATTTTCAGTAAAAGGAAGACAGGAGGGAAGGAAAGAAGAATGAGAATACTACAAAACAACCAGAGAAACAAACAATAAAATGGCAGGAGTAAATCCTTACTTATCAATAATAACATTAAATGTAAATGGACTAAGCTCTCCAATCAAAAGACATACAATTGTTGGATGGATGAAAAAACAAGACCAAATGATTAGAAGCACTTCACTTATAAAGATGCAAACAGACTGAAAATAAAGGAATGAAAAAACATATTATATGCCAATGGAAACCAAAAAAGAGCAGGAGTAGCTATACTTAGACAAAATAGATTTTGAAACAAAAACTATAGGAAGAGACAAGGAAGGTCACTATATAATAAAGAAGTCACCAAAAAAATATAACAATTGTAAATATATATATACATACATACCCAACACTGGAGCACCCAGATTTATAAAGCAAATATTATTAGAGCTACAGAAAGAGAATGACCCCAATAAAATAATATCTGGAGATATCAACACCCTACTTTCAGCATTGGACAGATCTTCCAGACAGAAAATCAACAAAGAAATATCAGACTTAATCTGCACTATACACTAAATGTACCTAATAGATATTTACAGAACATTTCATCCAATGGCTGCAAAGTACACATTCTTTTCCTTAGCACATGGATAATTCTCAAAGATAGATCATATGTTAGGTCACAAAACAAGTCTTAAAACATAAAAAAAAAAAAACCCTGAAATAACAGCAGCCATCTTCTCTGACCACAATAGAATAAAACTAGAAATCACAAAAAGAATTTTGGATACTATATAAGTACATGGAAATTAAACAATATGCTCCTAAATGACCAGTGGGTCAATGAAGAAATTAAGAAGAAAATGAAAAAAATTCTTGAAACTAAAGACCCCTATCTCTTGCCATATACAAAATAAAATAAAAATGGATTAAAGACTCAGGCCACAAACTATTAAATACTAACAGAAAACATTAGGGAAACTCTCCAGGACATTGGACTGGGCAAAGATTTTCTTGAGTGATACCCGATAAGCACAGGCAACCAAAGCAAAAATGGACAAACCAGATCACATCAAGTTAAAAAGCTTCTGCACGGCAAAGAAAACAATCAAAAAAGTCAAGAGACAACAAACAGAATGGGGGAAAATATTTGCAAACTACCCATTTGATAAAGGATTAATGACCAGAATATATAAGAAGCTCAAACAACTCTATAGGAAGAAATTTAATAATCTAATTGAAAAAAAATGGGTAAAAGATCTAAATAGATATTTCTCTTACTTTTTATGTCAACAAGAATGAGCTTCTCAAAAGAAGACATACAAATGGCAAATAGGTATATGAAAAGGTGCCCAACATCATTGATAGTCAGAGAAATGCAAATTAAAACTACAAGGTAATATCATCTCACTAAGTTAAAATTGCTTTTGTCCAAAAGACAGGCAAGAACAAATGCTGATGAGGATGCAGAGAAAAGGAAACCCTAATACACTGTTGGTGGGAATGTCAATTAGCACAACCACAATGGAGAACAGTTTGGAGGTTCCTCAAAAAAATAAAGATAGAGCTACCATACAATCCAGCAATTCCACTCCTAGGTATATACCAGAAAGAAGAGAAATCAGTATAATTAAGAGATATCTGCACTCCCATGCTTACTGCTGTACCATTCACAATAGCTAAGATTTGGAAGCAACCTAAGTGTCCATCAGCAAGAGATAAATGAAGAAAACATGATACATATACATAATAGAGTTAGCCATAAAAAGAGAATGAGATCTTGGCATTTCCAACAACATGAATGAAACCAGAGATCATTATGTTAAGTGAAATAAGCCAGACACAGAAAGGCAAACTTCATATGTTCTCATTTATCAGAGCTAAAAATTAAAACAGTTAACTCATGGAGATAGAGAGCAGATGGTTACCAGGGTCTGGGAAGGGTGGTGTGGAGTAGGGAGAGTTAATGGGTGCAAAAAAATAGTAAGAATGAATAAAACCTAGTATTTGATAGCACACAGGGTGATTATAGTCAAACATAATTTAATTGTATATTTTTAAATAACTAAATAAGTACAATTGAATTGTTTGTAAACACAAAGGATAAATGCTTAAGGTGACAGACACCCCATTTAGCTTCATGAGATTATTGTGTGCCTGTATCAAAATATCTCATGTAACCCATAAATATATATACCTACTATACCCCAAAAATTTTAAATTAAAAAAAGGTATGTGAATGTGATCCCTCTCTCTCTGCCTCAAAATATCTTAATATTTTTGGACCACAATTGGCCATGGATAACTGAAACCACAGAAAGGGAAAACCGGATAAGGAGGACTCCTGTATTTAACTTTTGCTTCGAAACAACCTCACCCAAGACATCACCCTCAGGTTCATTAGGACGAAAAAGTCATTAAATCACCATGAGTCTTGAGGGTACTTTCTTTTCCCTCAAACTGACTGTGGGATCACAGGGCCAGATCTAGGGCCAGCTCAGGAGGGCACATGATAATGGAGTACTAATCCAGGTACACATGCAGTGGGGTGCTGGCAATGGTGCTGTGGGTTATTGCACCACAATGAGATGAAGCACATCAACACAGGTAAAGCAGTAAGGAAAGAGAAGCGGCCGCTGAAGCTACTCTGTGCCCAGAAGCAGAGGACAGCTCCTCGCTTAAAGGCATTTTCTGTCTTAAGAGTCCACATCTGTATCCCCAGCATTTGGCATAGAGACTGACAGTTAACAAGTGTTCAGTAGCCATTTGTTAACTAACTGCAAGAGTATAGGATCAGCTTGATATGGTGAGTAATGCAATACAAGGCACACCCACAATGACCATCCCCCTTTTATCAGCCAAGAGGTGAGGCCTTAGGAAGGTGGGTCACACAGCCAGCCGGGGCAGGGACACAGAGAAGATCCAAGCTCCTTGGCCTCCAGTCTTACTTCCAGTGTCTGTGGGAATCAGCTGGACAGCTTGAGCATTCCTGCCTGCCATCCACCCTCCCACCACCTTCAGGAACACAGTTCTCTCCTACCTACCCTGTCCCCACAACCTGGCTGTCATGGCTAGCAGGGTGGGCCTAGGAGTTCTGCCAGGTCTTGCCCTGCTTTCTGCAGCCCCAGCCTGTCTCTCCTCTGAGCTTCTTCCTGAGCAGGTTTTGTTTCACTGGTTGTCTTCTTCTGCCCCCTTTTCTCTCCTTGAAGCCTCTCCTGTGTGTGTATTCCTCAGTACAACAAGGGTTATCTTCTATGTCTGTTTCCTGCCCACACAAACTTGCCCAATTTGGAATGTGCACTGAGGTCTGCCAGGTTTGGTCTCCAAATACCTCTGTTCAGATACTAGTTCCCCCACTTGCTCTGTGACTGGACAGAGCTATCTGAGCAGAGGGGTGAGTTTGGGATACTGTAGGGAGTGGAAGAGATGGGTTTGGTGGGGTGTTGTCCCAGGGGAGGGATGCCACATCGCTGGGAATGTAGGGCATGCACAAACTGAAATGATGAGCCCATGCTATGCAGTGATGGGGCTGAGCTGTGACAATATTTCCATGAGCAAATCTGTGTGGACAGCTGCCAGATCTCCAGGCAGAGCCGCCACATATCCTTCCAATCAGAAGACCCAATCAAACCATCCCACCAACCTACACAGGCTAGATGGAAGCCTTCTATTCCCTAACCCACCACCACCACCAATGGTTGGCCACAGGGTCTTGCTGGGAACCATTTTTACCTATTTTCTTCTTGACTTCTTTTCCAGTAGAGAGAGAAAAGCTCAGACAGGCTGTGGAAGACTGGTAGATCAGCTGGTAAGGTGAGTTCACCCCAATGGTGGACATGTTTGTGAGAAATTCTGGAATGGGAAAGAGAGAGATTCTTCTTTCAATTGTTTACTTTTATTAGCCAAAAATGTAACATCGATTTCTTGTTCTAGTAGTACAGTGGGTCAGATGCTGTAAAGAGCTGCATTATTACAAAACACCTAGATCTTGGAAGAAGGAGATTTTACAATGCATCAGTAGGCTCAGAGCAATTAGGCGTAATCTTTACAGTTCTCCTCTGCAGTGCCCCTCTTCCCCAACTCTCAAGAGGGAACTCGGAGCAAGGAACAGCAAGCAACCACAAAAGGTGATATTACTCCAAGGGCAAAGGCGGATATCAGTGCTGAACCAGGTCGAGCAGATAAACCTTGGGCCAGCAAGAAGGAAATTAAGAATCGTCTATTCTCCTTTATCTAAGCCACAGAAATCAGATGCTTCTTCAATAATATATCAGTCTCTTGCAGAATCACACCATCTTGTACAGAATCATTAGATATCTGGCCACTTAAGAATTAAAATGTAGCACCCTTATTGCTAGTGGAAAATGTTGTTAATTCTTACACAAACCTCCCCAAATCATGTGTTTATTCTTCCCCCAAATGTAGTCATTTTACTGGTTAGGCATGAAACCATTGTTAGAAAATGTTAGATGATTCACTCATCACAGCTCATTCAAATACAAAAAGAAAATGGCAAAACTGACCTCCTAAGCAGACAAAGACTATAGAGATTCCACACTGGATGATAAAACACAAGAGTAATCATCTCTGCTAGTGATCCAAAAGTTGAAATTAGAACAACTTTTAGGACCTTCTACCTTGATAGAAATGAAAAGAACTAACAATAGCCAGTAATGGTAAAGAAAGAATAAAGCCCATCAACCCTGTTTGTGTAGAGAGAATCCAAATTAAGTGTGATTCAGAAGAAGGCCATATACATACTGAGATCTCTGCTCCAATAATGCCTCCCCTGGGAAGTTAACCAAATACAACAGAAATAAGAAGCCACGTGCATAAAGTTGCCTATTACAGTGCATTATTATACAAATAACAAAAAAGCCTGGAAACGTAAGCATTTAGGTAAATGTGGAACACGAACATTAAAAGGAGTCTGTACTTACTCAAAATGACAATTATTTAAGTATATAGCCGTGTTGGAAAATAGTTGTACTCAAGTAAAAGAAACTGAGAAACAGAAAAATTCCAATACCCTAAAAACACATATACATATATGAGCACAGGAACCACAAAGGAAACTGCAAAGGTGAAAAATAGTTCTTATATAAAGATGGCTTTCTCTTTTTTGCTTTTTTTTTTTTTTTTTTTTTTTTGAGACAGAGTCTTACTCAGTCACCAGGCTGGAGTGCGGTGGTGTGAATCTCCGCTCACTGCAATCTCCATCTGGGATCAAGTGACTCTCCTGCCTCAGCCTCCCAAGTAGCTGGGACTACAGATGCACACCACCAGGCCCTGCTAATTTTTGTATTTTTAGTACAGATGAGGTTTCACCACGTTGGCCAGGATGGTCTTGATCTCTTGACCTCGTGATATGCTCACCTCAGCCTCCCAAAGTGCTGAGATTACAGGTGTGAGCCATTGCCTGGCCCCTCTTTTTTGCATTATTAATAATAATACTGTCACCAACTAAAAAATAAAGGAGCAGTCTGGTTCTCTTCAGTGACAAGCCAGGGCTAGTAAGTACCAGGACATGACAGAAGACTACATAGCACAGGGGATATTCTGGATACAGCTTTTTTTTTTTTTGGAGATGGTCTCACTCTGCCATCCAGGCTGGAGTGGAGTGGCACAGTCTTGGCTCTTTGCAACCTCTGCTTCCCATGTTCAAGCAATTCTCCTGCCTCAGCCTCCTGAATAGCTGGGACTACAGGCGTGTGCCACCATGGCTGGCCAACTGGGTTTTGTGTGTGTGTGTGTGTGTGTGTGTGTGTGTGTGTGTGTGTATGACGGGGTTTTACCATGTTGGCCAGGCTGGTCTTGAACTCCTGGCGTCAAGTGATCCTCCTGTCTTGGCCTCCCAAAATGCTGGGATTACAGTCATGAACCACCACGCCTGGCCGGGTCACAACTTTAAAAGAGGGATACTCTAAACCTGTTACAGCTTTAGTCTACCTCACATAAGAGGATGGTCCAGAAAAACACAATTCCTTCAAAACAAATCATCAGAGTTTGACTCTTCTTTTTTATGCCCCAGGAGAGCTATCTAAATAAAGTCCTTTTAGGATGAATGAATGTTTCTCCAAAAGAAATGGATCACTTTTTTATTTTTGTTTTGCTACTTACATTTTTGTCTTCACACTCTAGGCTTATTTAAAGAGGGGAGCATCTGCACTGGCAAGTGCCAAGACAGGGAGGCTTGCTAGGGAGTGTGATGGAGAGGGGCATCCTCAGCACAGGACAGCACAGGACAAAGTGTGATGCAGAGGGGTGCTCTCGCAGCAGGACAACAAGATGCAGAGATCACCCAAAAAGCTCCCTGCCCCCAGTTCAGCTTAGCTCTCTTCCCATTTTCCGCCATTAGATGAATCATAGCCCACAGGAGATGCCAGAAGACACCGCGCCCTCCTCATCCTTAAAGAATGCTGAAACGCTTTATGAGAAGGAATGTTAGTGGCGAGGACCGGTTTCCTTTTAAAGGTGAGGACACTATTCAGGTAGCAGTGGCTCAGGCAGGTGTGAGGCCCCAGGGTTGGGCTGGAGCTACCCTGATAACTGTCATGGGACTCTCATACATGTGCAACAGACTACTTAGCAGGTGTGCCCCAAAATGAGGGAGATCTCTAAGCCCCAAAATAGCATGCAAGGTACGGAGCTCTTTGTCTGGCGATCACCACCTGCACAAATAATTACAGCACAACTGGAGGTCTCAAAGCCTAGCTGATCCTAAACAAAACGGGCACAGTGGAAATCCCTCTAAAACAGAGATCTTCATTTCATGATCAACGCCGGGGAGAGGGGTGTTTTATCACAACTCTGTTTTAGAAAAGAAACCCAAAATTATCAAAATAACCTTTTATCTTGTATTTTTAAAAATTAGTTGATTCTCTAAGTACACATTAAGTCTTACAAAGAAAATGAAAATGACTGCTGGGTTTTTCAAGGCAGTGTGGTTTCTTCCTGAATGATTGTATCATGGCAATAAAACATAAGTCCTTCATGTTTGCCTTTTGCAAAATTATTCAAGAGCTTTACTGCTTTTTATTTTTAACTCTTTGATACCCCAAACATCCTTTCTCCATGGAGTCATGATGCTGTCTTCGGTTTTCCCTTCTGTGGCAGGTGGCTAGTGCCGCTCCACCCCATCAGGTATCAGGGGTGGCAGAGGGGCATTCTGCGGCTCTCCAGCATCATTTTCATTGACTGCATGAAATGTTACATTTTTTCCCCCAAGATCTGTAATTTTTCTATGCAATGTATTTGCACTGTGTGTGTATATCATCAGATGTTTAATATCTGACCATCAGGGGAGCCTGACAAAGATACTGATTCAGTGGGCAGGGGACTGAGTCTACAGGTGAGGGCAAATGGTTGGGAGATATAATTTTTTTATGCTTCCCTATAAAATCTCTCACCAGTGAATAATTTTAGGCATTCAGAATGAACACCTGTGTATTCAGCAAGCTTAAGATATAAAACATTAGCAAAAAAATAAGCAACTTGATTTAAAAATGGATTGAGGACCCAAATAGACATTTCTCAAAAGAAGAGACACAAATGGCCAATAAGTATATGAGAAAAATGCTCAACGCCAGTAATCATCAGAAAAATGCAGATCAAGGCCACAATGAGATACCACGTTACATCTGTTAGAATGGCTATTACCAAAGTGGCAAAAGCTAACGAGTGCTGACAAGAGTGTGGAGAAAAGGAAACCCCTGCGTGCTGCTGGTGGGAATGTAGATTGGTGCTGCCATTATGGAAAACAGTATGGAGTTCCTCAGGAATTTAAAAATGGAACTACCTTATGATAAAGCAATTCAACTTCTGGGTATTTATCCAAAGAAAAGAAATCAGTATTTCAAAGAGATGTCTGCAGTCCTATGCTCACTGCAGTATTATTCACAATAGCCTGGATATGGAAACAAGCTAAGTGTTTATCAAAGGATAAATGGATTAAGAAAATGTCACACACACACACACACACACGGGGTGGGGGGGATATGATTCAGCTATTAAAAAGGAAATCCTGACATTTGCTATAACATGAGTGAACCTATGCTGAATAAAAAAGCCAGAAAAAAAAAGACAAATACTATATGATCTCATCAATATGAGGAATCTAAAAAGGTCAAACTCATAGAAGCAGAAAGTGAATGGTGGTTGGCGGCGGGGACTAGAGGGTGGCAGCGGGGGAGTGGGAAGATATTAGTCAGAGTACAAACTTTCAGTTATAAGAGGAATGTGTTCTGGAGAACTAACATATAGCATGGTGACTATAGTTAATATCACTGTATTGTACACTCGAAATTTGCTTAGGGGGTAAATCTTGTGTTCTCACCACACCCCCACACACACACAGAGAGCGAGAGAGAGAGAGAGAGAGAGAGAGAGAGAGAGAGAGAGAGAGACAGAGAGAGACGCAGGGAGAGGTGTTAATAGCTGTCTTCCAGATCCTGTTCCCCTTCACTACCCAGAGATCACTTCCTTGAATCTCCCCCTTCATGCTTTTACACTTGCACTTTGTGTAATATACCTATAAATGGTTTATTATTACTTTACATGCTTTTAAACTTTGAAAAGTAATATTCTCCCATAGCTTCCTTTTTTTTTTTTTAATACTACTATTGGAGATTTCTCTCTCTATGTATGCTTTAGTGCCTCACTGATTTTCATGATTGATTATGTTCCACTGTCTAAATGGATCATAATTTGTATCTTTTTCTCTTGTTGATAAATATTCTGATAAATTTCTTGCCATTCCAAGGAATTCTGCAATAAACATTCTTTTTTTATTTTTAATTAAAGACAGAGGCTCATTATGTTGCCCAAGCTGGTCTTGAACTCCTGGACTCAACAGATCCTACTGCCTTGGCCTCCCAAAATGCTGGGATTACAGGCATGAGCCACCATGCCTGCCTGCAATAAACATTCTTGTATGATTTCTTGAATATGTGTGTGAGCTTCCCTCAGGCTATGTGACTTGAATCCAGCCTGTTGACTGGCACTGACCCACATAGGCCATGACCAGGTGAGCACAAAAACTGAAAGTGGGCACTGAGAGGCCTGTGTAGCAACTTGACACTGTTGTGACATTTAATCATGTGTTTAAAAGGGTCAGTCCACAACAGATTAGAAATTTTAAACATGAGTCCTTCACTGCATGTAGCTTGAGAGCACAGCTCTAGGGAACGACCTCTATGAGGAAGCTGGCTTATAAAGTGCAGCCATCAGATGCCCCCAAACCACTCTCCACAGGAATTGCACCAATTCACCCACTCACCTGTAGCTTTTGAAAATCCCTGTTGTTCCACATCCATCTCAACTGTTGGAAATGTCAAACCTTCAAACTGGGTGTTTTGCCTTTCCATTGCATTTTTGTTGATACTGTTTCCACATCTCACCTAAGGGTTGAAGCTCAGGTACCCACCTTTCCCCAGCTGTCCACCGCTGTAGCCACTTCTCCCAGCTGTGCCCATCAGGCAGTTGAAGGCCATCTCCTTGGTGTTGAGGTGGAGGAGCTGGCTGGCCTCCACAAAACGCCTGGTGATGTCCAAGGGGTTGGCACCCACTAAAGCAATGATTGAAAGCAACACATGTCCCTCCTAGCACAGGGTTAATGCTTCCATAAAAGGACCTCTGTAAATGGCCCAGGAAAGAAGGATGGAGTGGAGTGCTATTCCTAGGGTATGCAGGGGCGTGGGGGGGCTACTGTGAAAGGCTCTCAAGCTCTCAGGACCCTTCAGGTGTCGCTTTGCTTTCCTCCCTTTGCCTGTCTCTCTTCCTACCCATAGGCCTGGGTACCAATGCTATTGCTTTCTGAAATGACAGAGTCTACAGAAGGCTCAATCACTGGTGCTGCTCTAGGTCCTGGCCTTAATCCTGGGATGACGCCCTTGTCCTGAAGGGACTGGTTCCAATTTATTTATTTATTTATTTATTTAGAGACAGAGTCTTGCTCTATCGCCCAGGCTGGAGTACAGTGGCACAATCTTGGCTCACTGCAACCTCCACTTCCTGGATTCAAGTGATTCTCCTGCCTCAGGCTCCAGAGTAGCTGGGATTATAGGCATGCACCACCATGCCTGGCTAATTTTTGTATTTTTAATAGAGTCAAGGTTTTACCATATTGGCCAGGCTGCTCTTGAACTCCTGGCCTCATGATCCTCCTGCCTTGGCCTCCCAAAGTGCTGGGATTGCAGGTGTGAGCCACCGTGCCCAGCCTGGGAACCCAGTTCTTATAACTCCCCCTCGTTCTGGCTCTACTGGGCTTTGTGTGGCTACTTCCCAATTGGCCCTCTTGATTTGAAAACTTCACGTGCCACCTGGACCTGGGTGCTGTCTCCCCACCTCAGCATCATTCTCATAAACACTACCGCTCAGTGTCTCTGACATTGCACCATTCCTACTGCTAACCTTCCATCCCTGGGCTCTGCAAAGCTAGGGCAATAGCAGGAAAAACGGGAGAACAGGGAGGACAGGATGGTTCCAGGAGCCATAGAGGGAAGGCATCCAATTCCTACACCAGACCCACCATTGCCACATGTTCCCAACACATGGCTCTGAGATGCCTGTCTGTGGTGGGTGTGGTGGGCACACACACAAACATCTGGGCCTTACCCGACATAGACTCCATCATGGCCTTCATCTTCAGGCTGAGAAGCTCCGTCAGCAGGTGGATGGACTGCTGCTGAAACCTGTTCAGGATCTCCTGGTGGGTGGGCACCTTCTGGGCCATGGTGGGAGAGCAGGTGGAGCGCTTGGCTGCCCTAGTGGTTACCGGCAGCACTGGAGGTGGTGCTGCTGCTGGTGTTGGAGGTAATGGCTTCTTTGGTGTGGGGACCTGCACAAAGGTGGGTTCCATGAGCACCACCGTGGGGGCTCCAAAGCTGACCTCCAAACCCAAGATGTCAGATGGGGTAGGCACTGAGGGGTCACTGATGAGCTCTTCCCAAGTAAACTCAAAAATGTTTCTGATGCCCTTCGGTATAGAAATGCCTGCATTCTGGCAGATTGTGAGGAGTTTGGAGATGCGGGCCAGTAGCTTGGGGGCCATGGCTGTGTATTGTTGATATAGTTCTCGGTTACTCTTGACATAACTCATGAGGGAGATCTTCAGCTATAAAGAGAGATCTCTGAGAGGTGACTGAGAGCAAAAGTTCTGGCCTATGGTGAAGGCTTGGAGATGAACAGAATGGATATGCTGAAATGGCCCTTACAGGTCATTGAGCCAGTGGTTCCTATCTGGAAAGGACAAGAAAAGAGTTAGTCACTTTCCCCACAGTAGGGCAAGGGGATGTCCCTCCTCCCTTACCTACCGAGAGACACCATCAGAGAAACCAGTGCTAGTGAGTCCCTTTGGGAAGGGTCTGGTGATAAGTATTGTTCCAGGAAAGCTTCAAGGACAGTCACACAAACTGGGTATAGGACCCTGGGGGGCTGCAGTAATGGAAGGGCTGGGGAAGAGAGAAAGGTCCCATTGCACCTTTTGTAGTTAGAGATCTGAGGGTGGAAGATCTACTTGTGGTCAATTGATAAGAACCTGCAAGAACAAAAAGATGTTTCACTGGTTCTCTCTGGATGCAATGAATGCAGAAGCTCCTGGTTGCCGTGCCAGATGGGCATGGAATTATCAACACGTACATCTGAGGGAAGACTGGAAAGAATGAGCCAATGCATTTTCAAAGCTCAATAACTAATACAACTTGCCAGATTTCATCAAATCTAAGACATTATTGATCAAAAGATGCACCATCTTATACGAGAAAAATGAATGTAAGCTGCCATTGACTGTAAGACATATCACAATTTCAGAGATGTTAAAGTGTGGAAAATACGTGCCTAAGAATCAATGGACTACAATAAATATTTTTCCACTTTAATACTACAGTAATTTTCACCCTGACATATTGCTACATTGTGTTTTATTCTTACCTTCTTAACTTATACCAAAAATAAACCACTGGTTGAAGAGAGGAGGCATAAAGAACAATTTAATGAGCACAAAAATGGCTAGAAAAACCTATAAATACACTGCCAGGGTTTGTAACCAGATCCCAAAAGTTTCATTTTTCTGATCAAAATGAACTGATAGCAGTCTTAAATAATATATCAAATTAAAACTAGTCACATCTTAGGCTACACAAAAATGATTTGTTTCTTGTAATTCCCGAGGGACTTTGTGAGAGCGTGAGCCTTTGTGAAAGACTCAAAAATCCAGAGCACGTAGCAAAGGTCAACCTGAGGGAGACTTAGAGCAGGAGGGGTGGGGGGGTCTGTCCTCTCTGCTGATGGCCATCGCCAGCATCTTGATGCAACAGGCTGTTCCTGTTATCCAACTCCAACAGCTCTAACCAGCCCACTCACCAAGAGCTGCTGGCTCAAGGCTTCTGACCACACTTGTCAGTGACTGCCGCTGTCCAACTATCTCTTCAACCACCTTTTATCCTGACAACCACTCCAGCCAACACACCTATGTCTTCTTTTCCACTAGACAATGCTCCCTTTCCCTTTTCAAACTCTGTCCCCACAGGAGCCACCCCAAGTTTGCCATTCCAAGACAGCCTGCTTGGTGCCGACATTCAGTGTTTATGGGGCAGGCTCATGACCATGAGCTCACGTGCCCACCCAGTGGTGAGAAGGCTATCATCTTTCTTGTTCTGCTGAGGAATCAGAGCTCTTGGTTGGGAGTCACCCATATGCAGACTTCTGGCATTGAGCCCTTTCCAAACACTACGCTACTTTCCAAACACCATGGCCTCTGACCTGCCTCTGCCCATCTATCAGTAACAAAATCTCCAAGGAACACGAGCCCCATAGAGCAAACCCTTCTAGCATCCTGTTGGTTTGCAGATAAAGTGGCTTCCTATAACTATTTGTTGACCTCCTGGCATCTCTCTTCCTCAGCTTTGCAGAATGGGAAAAAGAGCTTTGTTTTTGAAATGATAAGTCCATAGGACAAAGAAACCACTCAGATCCCAGTCATCTGGGCGATCGGCCAGAGGGATCTGACCCTGACTGTGAAGGGCAGATTTTTTTCTTTTAATGTCAGGACTCAAATGAGAAGAAGGAGATGACTAATACAAGTCTTGAAATATTAACTGGTTTGGGAAACTTGTCTCCCCTACCCCAGTTCATTTTTTGAGGTTAATTTTGAAGATGTGCTTTACAGATAAAAGCTGAATTCTTGAACAGCTTTATTGAGATATAATTCACATACAATCCACCCTTTTTATGTGTATACAATGGATTTTAGTATATTCAGAGTTGTGCAACCATTAGTATCTAATTTTAGAACATCTTAATGCCCCCACACAAAATCCACCATCAGTCACTCCCTGTTTCCCCTCACCCTCAGGCAACCAACCATTCATCTAGCTTCTGTCTCTATGGATTTGCCTGTTCTGGACATTACATAAAAATAGGATCATAAACTATGTGTTTTTTGTGACTGGCTTCTTTCACTTGCTGTAATGTTTTTGAAATTCATCCATGTTATAGCATGTATCAGTACTTCATTCCTTTTTATGGCAGAATAATATTCCACTGTATGGGTATACCACAACTTCTTGATCCACTCATTTGTTAATGAAGGACTTTTTGGTTATTTTTATTTTTTGGCTATTATGAATAGTGCTTCTGTGAATATGCATACATAAGCTTTTGCATGGGGGTATGTTTTTATTCTCTTGTGTGTGTATACCTGAAATGGGATTGCTGGGTCATATGGTAACTCAGTGTTTAACTTTGTGAGGGCCTGCCAGGGTGCTGTATCATTTCACAGTCCCACCAGTGGCATTATGAGAGTTACAATTTCTCTCTTTGCCAGCACTTTTTATTATGTCTTTTTGACTCTGGTGCTATCCTAGTAGATGGGAAATTATGTCTTATTGTGGTTCTAATTTGTATTTCCCTAATGATTAATGATATTGAGCATCTTTTCATACTCTTATTGGCCATTTTATATCTTTTTTTTTGAGAAATGTGTATTTAGATCTAAAATCTGTTTTGAAAAGCAATTTCATTTTAAATTAAATGTGGAGATAACCTATGTTTATTACCGTATATTTACATCTCTCAGAACTCAGCCAGAGGTGACCATGTGACTACATCCTGGCCTGAGATGAAGATGAAGCTCCTGGGCAAAGGACCCTGAGAAATCTGTTTGAAGGATGCTGCCTTCAGGGAAAGTACACTTTTTCTTTACCCACTGACCTCTCTAGTCCTTCTTGCCTGGAATGGATAAGATGGCTGCAGCTCCAGCAACCGTTTTGAGCCATGAGGTTACCCTGAAGAGGGAAGCCTCGCATTAAAGGTGGTCAAGCTGTGCGGCAGAGCCCGGGCTCCTGATGACATTGTGGCACTCACACCAACACTTAACCATCCACTTCCAAGCTTATTCCACATGCGAATGAGCCGCTAATGCCTTTAAGTCACTTTATACAGCTCTCTATTCTGGCCATTGAAAGTGATTCCCGACTGATCCCTGGCCATGTTAGATCATCACTCTTTCCTTCCCATTTATCCAATTTCTATTTTGTCATTCATTTTTCCATCACTGAGACACAGGTTTTGACTTCAAGTAGCTTAATAGCTAACAGGTAGAGCAAACTTACAAAATCGACTTATGTGATAAGGGTCACACTACAGAAAAATGTGGAAAGGGGGCTTCAGAGCAGGGCGTCCCCAGTAGAAGCCCCTGTGGGCACAGAGGTTTGGAGGTGTGAAAGGAGATAGGTTTAGTATGGCTGGAATGCAGGTTGTATGTGGAGTGTGGTCAGAGATGAGACTGTAAATGGCAGACTCAGCTAAAAAAAGGCTACTTTCTGAAGGACCTCTTCAGCCACTGAGAATACACACCACAAAAGGTCTTTTAGGCTGACTGACGGCACCAGGGACACCATGGCGACCCTCATGACCCACATGTCCACCTCTGGATGGCCTCCTGAAATTACAGAATCTGAAGTAACTGGAAGACCATGAAAAGAGGAAGAATGATCAACCCCTGCGGCACCTAACTTGACACATTCTTCTATTGTTTCTCATTCTGGCCTCAATTGATAAGGCCATTGGACTTTGTAACTGACCTTGGTCAACCTCATGACTCCACACCCTACGACCCCTCCTAGCTTGCAAAATCCACCCTAAACTGTAACTTCTGTATCTTTCCACTGCCCACCTCAAACCTGTAAAACCAAGTCCTATCCCACCGCCCTCCGCTGACTCTCCTTGAGGACCTAGCCTGCCCGCACCTGGGTGAACAAACAGCCTTGTGGCTCACACAGAGCCTGTTTGGGGGCGTGTCTTCATTCAGAGCACGTGTTTTAACAGTCCTCCCACTCCTAATACAACTGTTTACTGGAAAAAAAAAAAAGGAAAGAACTGGCACTAGATCGTGTTCTAAAAGATGAGTAAGAAGCTACCAGGTAGATAGGAAGAAGACAGGCATTCTAGGCAAAAGGAACAGCACGTACAAAGAGATGGTGACACTGGAAGCATGGTGGGCTGCAAGGACTGCATATACCTTGGTATGGCTGCAGTGTGGGAGGTCCATGGGAGAGAAGCAGATGAAACTGGGAAAGTGGCCTAGAATCAGATCTTGCAGGGCCTTGTATGTCAGTCCAAAGAATGTGTATCTGCTATATAATCAAACTCTCCATACAAATGCTGAAATGTATTGTCTTTAATGGCTGTGTCCCATATGGTCTCATCTCTGAAATTGGAGGGCAGGGGCCATGTCTTCTCTTTAATAATCTCTAAAATGCTAAGCCCAGCACTGCTACATGCCAGAAATGGAAAAATATCTGTGGCATTAAAGTCAGCCACATAACCTAAGGGACCCACACAGATGGCTATAAACAAAGCTTCAAGATGCAATTCCCACAAAGAAATGAAATGTATAAGAAATTTATAAAGGATATGAGGGATGACCACGGATGCAGCACCTTCTTCAGTCAATGATCTGCTACAAGTTTCTGTTCCTGGTTAGCTTTTGGGACAGGGATGGGAAAGGCATGGGTCCTGCTTTCAGGGGGCTCACAGTAGAGGGGAGAGATGCACACAAAGAAGGCTACAGTAAGTCAGAGTGCTTTCTGCAAGGTGGAATGAAAACCCAGAGAAGAAAGTGTCATGGGGAGGCCAAGAGTTACATTCTCACATCACATGAATGTGTGTTCAGGCGATGTGACCCTGAGCCCAGCCCTTGATCTGTGTGATGTTCCCAAGGCCATGTGTGACACTGGTCCCCACCTTCCAGGACTGTGAGAATTAGTGAGGTCGTGTGTGTGAAGGGTTGGCACACACGCAGCAGGGTGAGTTGAGTGCTCAGTAAATGTTAACTAGAAAAATGGTCATTATTTGAAGTGGTCAAAGGTTGTATTCCAGGAGATGGGCACAGCTCTTGTACAGGCTGAAGGCTCCAAACAGCCCTGACAAGTTTGGGGAACAGCAAGGAACTGGATGCTGCTGTAGAGGTAGGGTGGGCAGGGCCAGGTGAGAGGAGCTTGATTTTGATCTTGCAGCTGACAGGAAACTACTGAAGTTGGCAAACAAAGGAGGTATCTGCATCACAGGGTGCTCCTTCTGCTGCTGGCACCATGGAGGGAAGTGTGGTGGGGAGAGTATGAGATGGACAGCCGCTGCTAGGGTTAGCCAAGGAGATGAGCTGCACCCACAGCACCCTTATTTCTGCTGATGAACAAAAAGGATGTCCAGGCTGGGCGTGGTGGCTCACACCTGTAATCCCAGCACTTTGGGAGGCCAAGGTGGGCAGATCACGTGAGGTCAGGAGTTTGAGACCAGCCGGGCCAGCATGGTGAAACCCCATCTCTACTAAAAATACAAAAATTAGCTGGGTGTGGTGGCGGGCACCTGTAATCCCAGCTACTTGGGAGACTGAAGCAGGAGAATAACTTGAACCCAGGAGGCGGAGGCTGCATGAGTGGAGATGGCGCCACTGCACTCCAGCCTGGGCAACAAGAGTGGAACTCTGTCACAAAAAAAAAAAAAAAAAAAAGGATGTCCAGTCCTAGGAGCACCTGGAAGGGTGTAAAAAGGCACAGACCCAGCAAACTACCAGGGGTACATAGTGGTGCAAAAATAGGACAGTGAGGAAAAGGGAAAAAGTTCTGAATGAGCTTCTGGAAAATCCAGCACACCTGACCAAGAAGACAGCTAAGGGGAAATGAGCATAGACTTAAAAGCAGAGAGAGGGTATACTGCCACCCCTTTACTGGCACTGATACAGAACACATCTTTCAGTAGAAGTACACACAGCTGTATAATTAAGAAGAAAATCAAATTAAGCCTCCTCAGGTTTAGTTTTGGTCCTGGTGTTCTCTGGTAATTTCTCTAGTTTCTGGTTCTCTGGTTTTAATCAGAAATACTTCTGATAAGGGCAGCAAGTTCAGATGTCGGCACGTAACTGCAATTTGTGAGCGGGCATGGCTTTAGGCTAGGACAAGTCTGAGAATCAGCCCTCACTATGCATAAAAGAAATGGAGGTGGGCCTAGGAAAAGTAATCGATGCTATTCGCTGTACTGTTAAGTATATAAAACAGCATTCTGGACAGATGCTTGAATTCTCTTGGCAGAGAGAAGGAAAGAAGGGCTCCACTAGTAAAAAGTGGATCTTAAGGTGAGCAGGGCAGGGGCCAGCTCATAAGATTGAGCTTTACTTCATGCAAAGCCAAGGTTTAATGTGATACTGAAATCTCACTGTGGCCATCCTGGAGTGGATTCACAAGGAGATTCACTGTGGTAGCAAAGGGCCCTTATTGAGATGGGTCTCCTGACAAGACACATCAAGAAACATAAAACTGACCATCTCTTTGACCCAGTGATCCAGTTTATGAAAGTAGCACCTCAGGGAGTATCAAAATGGGGAAAGGGGTGTCAGGGAAGGTATTTTTATAAAGATCAATGTTTGTTAAACCATACTAAAAGATGCTTATAGCCACTCCATTCCCTATACTGATATAATGCAGATAGCCAACCATCAAAGAAGTGTTTAACAATGATGTACATTAATCTGACGAACTACTGGTGACAATTAAAAATAAAAAGGAAGCTCAGTTTTAGAATGTTAAAGAGGAACCAAATGGTGCGTAAACACTGATTACACAGTCCGTGAAAACTTATGCAGATCATGAGTTGGACATAGAGATACAAAGCCTTTTCTTTTTAAGGAAAATGTGATTATTTTTGGAAAGATAATAAAACCTAAGTTTCCAGCAAAGACAGTTGCACAGTTATCAGACTCACTTGCGACCTGGGAGACCTGGGCTGGGAGTAAGGCCCACTCTTGTATTTTTTGGTTTTCAAAAACCCTGAACAACTATGGCTGCGTGTGGAGAGGGTGGGGTAGGGTGGGACGAGGGGAAGTGGACACTCTGTTCAACCTCAGGGAATAATGACCAAAACAAAATGGGGAGGGAGGGGTGAAGGAATGCAGTACACCCCAGAGAAAATGCTTAAAACCAGCCCAAACTGTTACCAAGCACATGAGCTTTCAGAGTTAGGGAGAATGTGGCAATTAGAAATGGAGGGCCGGGTGCAGTGACTCACGCCCATAATCCCAGCACTTTGGGAGGACGAGGCAGGCAGATGATCTAAGGTTGGGAATTCGAGACCAGCCTGGCCAATATGGTAAAACTTCATCTCTACTAAAAATACAAGAATTAGCTGGGCGTGGTGATGTGTGCCTGTAATCCCAGCTACTTGGGAGGCTGAGGCAGGAGAAATGCTTGAACCCAGGGGCAGAAGTTGTAGTGACGGCAAGACTCTCTTGCTTTCCCCCTGGGTAGCAGAGCAAGACTCCATCTCAAAATAAATAAATAAATAAACAAAATAAAAACAAAAGAAATGTAGTGGAGAAAGTAGCTGTTTCAATTGAGGGTGGAAAAGATGTAATATTTCCGGCCACTCCTACCACTGGACAAACACACACTTACTACGAGTGACTATATAGATATAGCCTGGGACTTATTAAGCAACACCATAACAGAACATCAATAGGCCAGGGTGACAGGTTTGCACTACACCACCTTACTTCCTTTGAATATTTTCATTTTCTAGTTTTCCTAGACAATGACCTACACCAATTACATCATCCCTGGCCTCTTGTCCCCAATACACACACTTTAAACACGAAGATAATGTCCACAGCCAACCAGGGCAAAACGCCTCACCCAGCCAACTTACAGGGGTAGGTAGAATGACTGCGGTAGTTTCGTCTCCTCTCAACTTTTCAGTGGGTCAACAAATTCCTTTCAGTTATCATCACTCACCTTAGCCATGTAGTCTTTTACAAGAACTGCTTGCCAAATAACTGACTTAGCTCAATGTACCGACTTAAAAGGACCCAGTATGGCATGGGCTACTCTAGGTTGTGTTAACTGTAAAGACCAGTACCCACCCCCGCTCCAAATTCTAAATTCTATTACCTCGTCATGACCAGGTCAGCTGAAAACCTCCCTGCAGGCTGTACTCCAGCTTTCACAAGGGATAAACGACCCCACAAGTCTGGCAAATGTATGGCTAAACGCAGCAGGAATCTCATGTATATGGATCTGAATGTTCTCCTTTGGGAATTCTGCAGCAAACAAAATGATTTATTGAGTCAATTCAAACGAACTCTATCAAAACACACAAAGGCCTGGAGGAGAGATTACAGTGAAAGTAAATAATTCAAGGCAATTTTTGATCTAAAGCATTTTGCTGAGCTCTACAAAGGCACGAATGAGGTGTGGTCATGTTTTCCTATAGGAGGTTTTGCCACTACTTGCTCACAAGTTAAACATGGCCGCAGAGTATTGTGAATGTTTAATGTATGCCTGGGAGTAATTTATTGGCCAATACTTTAGTTACTGATGGGAGGATTATGTATGGTCAGATCATAAAGCATGTAAAAACAGATCACTTAGAGCTGCGCTATCCAGGACAGTAGCAGTAGATGCATGGGCCCTTTAAGCATCTGAAAAGAGGTTAGCATGATTAAGGAACTGAGTTTTATTTTAAACTTAAAATTTGATATTCGGTGCCAGGCACAGTGGCTCATGCCTATAATCCCAGCACTTTGGGAGGCCGAGGCAGGTGGATCACGAGGTCAAGAGATTGAGACCATTCTGGCCAACATGGTGAAACCCTGTCTCTACTAAAAATACAAAAAAAATTAGCCGGGTGTGGTGGTGCGTGCCTGTAGTCCCAGCTACCTGGGAGGCTAAGGCAGGAGAATTGCTTGAAATTGGAAAATGGAAGTTGCAGTGAGCCAGGATCGCACCACTGCACTCTAGCCTGGCGATAGAGTGAGACTCTGTCTCCAAAAAAAACCCAAAAAACAAAAAAACCTGATATTCAATTCAGTTACTGGAAAACTTTTAACTGTGTTTAAGTATCTTTGGAACAACTTGGATATGAATTTGTGTTTTTCAACTGTGTATTTTACAAAATCTAAATACAGATCAAGTATTCCTGATGAAAAGTTAGCCTCCAAATTGAGATATGCTGTAACTGGATACACAGTGAGTTTTGAATTCTTAGTGTGAAAAAGAGATCTCACTAATAATTTACAGATATTGATTACATATTAAAATATTTTAGATATGCTGAGTTAAATGAAATATATTATAAAGTTAATTTCACTTTTTAAATATGGTTGCTAGAAAATTGAAAATGATACCCAGGGCTTATTTTGTATCTCTGTTGGAGGGTGTGTTTTAGAGTACCCAGCTGACATCTAAGAACTCTAAGGCCCTCTGCTGGATACATTGGTACAAGACAGGTCCATGTCACACAGTAAGACTGTAATTGTGTGTCAATACTCAAAGAACTGGATCTGAAACAGAAGAGGGCTCATAAAACACTCAACTAAATTTATATTGTTAAGAGGGAATTATAGATTTCGTCTTTGAAATCCCAGAGAAAATGTGACTTACAGTTACTAGATAACAGCGACCACGAGCCAACAAGCACAACTGTTTCACTGCTTCAGCATCCACCTAGGTGCTGTAGGCGTGGTCACAGTCACCTGGGCTGGGCACTTTGTGATGCAGGCTCCCACACCTAGCAGGAAGGCAGCTCTTCCTGCTGCCTGCCTTGCCCTGTCCCTTCTCCTTTCTACTCCACAGTGGGCCTTGAGTCCTTCTGCTCTACGTTACACACACACCCTTTCTATCTTTCTCGTCTTTGTCTACTCTTCTTTCTACCCTTTCTATTTTTCCTCATGATTCTAGCATGTCTAATAATTCTATTTTTTAGTATTCCAATTTTTCGTCTCCTCCCTCTTTGTCCTACAAGCTGTTTTAGTTGGTTTTGTAGTTTTAGCTCTTACATGTAGGTATTTGATTCATCGTTAGTTGATTTTTTGGATGTTGTATGAGGCAGAAATCCAAATCCATTCTTTTGCATGCAATACTCAGTTGTCCCAGAACCAATTGGTGAAAAGACTGTTCTTTCCCCACTGGATGGTCCTGGCATCACCGTTAAAAATTAATTGACCACAGATGTTATGTTTTACTTCTGGACTCTTGCCTCTATTCCACTGACCTATGTGTCTATTCTTAAGCTGCTATCACGATGTGTAGATTACTATAGCTTTGTGGTTAGTCTTGAAATCAGGAAGTGAGTCCTCTTTGTTTTTTCTCTAGATTGTTTTGACTATTCTGGGTTCCCTGCATTTCCATATGAATTTTAAGATCAGCTTGTCAATTTCTGCAAAAAAAGGCAGCTGGGTTAGTTGGTTTTTATGTATATTTATTTAAAAAAAAAAAACCAATTACCTGATTAGGCTGACAGAATGACCATTAATAGGACTGGCAACTTTACCCTTGGAGTTTTAAGATAAGTTTGTAAGAATTCAGGATGTTTGTCTCAGATTGCTTGATACTAGGGCAACAAGACTGAGCAGAGAGCACTGAAAATCTGAGTCTGGAGGTTAGATATCAATTGTGTTGGGAGTCTGAGATCTGCCCCTTCCATACCATATGGCCCTGCCCAAGTCACTAACCCTCTCCACGCTCCAGTGTGTCATCTGTAATGAGGACAGGGCACTCCCTGCCACATTGTAGCACTGCGGGAACAGAGACAATGTCATCACAAAGGACCATGGGGAGACAGGCTCCCTCACTCACTTCTCTCCTTCCCACTCTTCAGGGCACATCAAGGACTTGTGCTACCATATTCTCACAGCACTCACTGGCCTGAGAACCAGCTGTGGGAGCCCTGTGGTCCTAGTCAACTGCCTATCAGCAGCTGTAGGAACCCTCTGAGGTGTGGCAGGCAGAGGATGTGGTGAGTGCCCAGGCACCCTGCTTTCTGGAGCCCTGCCCACCCCCAACCCTCTCCTTGTTACTAATGACATGGGGACCCACCTGTTCCACTGTGCAACTCCAACTCTGATCCAAGTCAGGCTCCTGAATGTGAGGAAGCCAAGCATGGGAGTGAAAGCTCTAACCATTGCCACTGAGGCACATCAGTCTCTGACCAGGTCCAGCAGCCTCCACGTATATCCCAGTCATTTAACACACATTATCAAATGCCTGCTGCGCACAAGAGTGTGGGTAATAGGATGGTATGGCAGTAAAAGTAAGTACACAGCTCCCACTTCTACCTTTCTGGACTACAAAGAGCTCCTCCTGGTCTTCCTCATCATTTCCTATATAATTACTTCCGGGTCCTCTGGGAGACCAGAGCATTTTGCCTGCTATGAGGTGTCCCCTCATTTGCCACTGCTTAACAGGGAGAAATTCCTCCTGACCTATGTTCCATTGGCTGATCTGGAAGCTGAACCCTTGGAATAGACACCTGCATGCTAGTATTTGCAAAAGGAATGGAAAAGAACCCTTAAATATGAGTAAGTCGTGGGAGTAGATATGTAACAGATAGGGTTATATCTCAGTGCCAAATTTTACAGGATATTTCTATTCTATGGCAGTTCACATGTAAATCCAGGTAGTATGTCTCTATTCCACTTAGAAAAAAATGAACAGCCAATGGCCAACGTTTCTATGACTTTTCTCCTTGCTGACAAATCCAACCTGAAGTCTGTGCCTCCTAGGGAAAGGATAGGACAAAGGTACAATTCAGTTCCTCAAGTTTTTCTCCCCCTCTGGGAGAGAAAGGCATTGTCAAAGTACAAACCCAAGTCGGTGTTTTGAAAGCTCATGTCACTTGTTTGTAATAGGAAATCATGTCATCCAAAGTTTCAAAAGTGACTGTGGGGGCTTGTGGTGGGTTGTCAGGGACAGGAGTGGGTGATGCATGTGCAGAGCTAGGCCCGTGGCCAGCACTCTGTGCTGGCCCAGGCCTGTTCCATGGCTGGCTGCTGGAAAAACCAGTTCTCTTCTGACCCACAAAGTAATCCGATGGTGGGGCAAACTCAGGATCTCTCTCAGCCCGGAGATCTGACTGCCTCTTTGACCAGTATCCAAAGGAAAATTCTAGTAAAAATAAGAAAGAAAACTATTAGAACTGATTGATAAATCAGTTGAATTTATTGTTACTATTAGCTAATTGTTTCATATATTTCTTAAAAGCCACTACAAATTATCCAGAGAACAATAATGGCAATAGCAAAACTCTATTACAAGGTATAAGTAATACCTACAAAGAGTATAAAAGACCAGGCTAAGAAATGGGAGTGACTACTTACAGATGGGAAATACAGAAAAAGAGAAATATAGAAAAATCATCTGTTTGACATGACATTGAAGATATTTCATATAGAAAAAATGTCCAACAGAACCATGTGTGAATCCAGGTTAGCACACTGGCACGAAGACCATTTTCAACTGAAATAAAAGAGGCCACTAAAGGCCAGGTGCAGTGACTCACTGCACCTCTAATCCCAACACTTTGAGTGGCTGAGGCAGGTGAATCACGAGGTCAGGAGTTTGAGACCAGCCTGGCCAACATAGTGAAACCCCATCTCTACTAAAAATACAAAAGATTAGCCGGGCGTGATGATGGGTGACTGTAATCCCAGCTACTCAGGAGGCTGAGGCAGGAGAATCACTTGAACCTGGTAGGTGGAGGCTACAGTGAGCCAAGATTGCGCCACTGCACTCCAGCCTGGACAACAGTGCGAGAATCCAACTCAAAAAAAAAAAAAAAAAAAAGAGGCTGCTAAAAACAGAGCACACGAGAACACCAAACCTTCATAATACTTTAAAGGCAGGTCCTGAGAAATGGCATTCCGAAGCTGTAAAACCACACAAGGCAGCACGACATTAAAACTTACCCCAAGTGCTTCTGGAAAAAAAAACCATTTTCCATTCACTGGAGAGGTCTTACACCTTAGAGCCCACTTCCCTTACCTTTTCCGCGGTCCCACTCCCGGACGTGTGGCACTCCAGGCTTAGTGTCCTTCCTCTCCTGGACAATGACTTCTACTTTGCTACTCTGGGCAGCAGGACGTGAAGTTAGCACAGCCTCTGGCTCTGGTGGCAAAGGCCCAATAACATTTCCATCTATTTTTTGTAAGGGAATAAGACACTGTTATAACAAAGGCTATTTTTAAAAATACAGAAGACACTAATCCTGAAAGTAAAAGTAACCATCAGTATTTATGAAGTACCTATCATATCTCAGGTAGTAGATTAAGTCTTTTGCATATAACAGGTCATTTAATTCTTGTAACAATCTTAATAAATTTAGTTCCATGTTATCCCCATTTTATAGAGGGAGAAAATTAAGCTCAGAAATGGTACACAGGTAGAAGGTGATATGCGCCAGGGTCCTTGGCTGGGCTGGATGGATTTCAGTCTCTGTGCTCTTTCACTATGCCACTCTGCTTCTCCAAACTGGCAATCGCAGGACCAGAAATCCGCGAATCACTCAACTAACATCACAACTTCAGGCAAAACAAGTAGAGCCAGCAGGATGAAGAGCTGGGGTCTGGTGTAGGCTGTTCATTTTGGCCACATTTTTAAAATGTAAAAAAAAAATGGATTTTTAAAAAACACCGTGGTGGTGCTTCACATTTTCTGGACATGACAGGTGTTCGGGAGATAGAGCAAAATTAGAGAAACAATCTAAATAGCATAACATGTTATACAGAGAGCATTTATTTGCAACTAAACAGATGGTTTTCAAATTCCTAAATGTTTCTGGTCTGTTTTGTTCAGACATTAGGAAATGGCCCATGGCTTCACATAAGCTTTGTGAGAGCTGTACAGCTGTATGTTCCTTCATACCACACTCCCCCTTTTCCTCTGGGTAATAGAATGCCCTCAGGCTTCAGTTGAGCATGGGGCGACCTTGCTGGAGTGGCCGTCTCTCAGCTTCTCCTACATTGAGGTGTGGCCCACAGGACTGAGCTCTAGCCAGCAGGATGTAAATGCATAGGTTGTATGTAACTTCCCACTGACATCTCTAAAAAGAAAGCTGGCTCCCCTCCCCAGTCTCCCGCCTGTCCCTGGGCTGGACCATGAATAGGTGAGCAGGGGAGCGAGCTTTGACTCTGCTGAAGAGAACAATACTCTAGGGAATGGCAGAAATAGCAAGACAGGAGGAAGTCTGGGACTAGATGACCATCTGGGAGAGAGTTACTACCCTGCCCTGGATACCGACTCACCCACCCATCTCCAAGGTCTTAAGTAGAGAAACAGATCTCTATTTGTTGGAGCCATTCTATGTAGAAGTCTCTAGATTGATGGCAATTTAGCCTATACTACCACAACTCTAAGCTAGTCTGACACAGCATGTAATAGTGTTTCCAAGGGGAACTGTGCTCCAAGTTCCAAATCACCAACTTCTGGAGCACAGTTCTTTCGTAAGCTTTGGCAAGCTGTCAATATTCATATTTCTAAATTCTTTTACTATGTAACTTTATAAATATAAATTTCTTTGAATATATATACAATAACCAATAAAAACTATAGCAATAGCAAAAAACTTAAGTCTAAAACATATATACTCACAACTAAACTTTAACTTAAAATATCTTTTTTCTAAGTCCCAATTATAAGACCGTGCCATTCTAAGACGTGACACAATGTATTGTTGCTTCATATCTTGGTTTAAAGCCTACAAATATTGAGTGTCATTCTGCATCATTTTGGTTATAAAAATTGCTCCTGCCGGTACCTCAAAGGTATACTGTTTGCTTAGATATAAAACTAAATGATTAATCTTCACATTGCCAGCCCTATTAACAAGACATCAATGGAACTAAAATTTTCCCCTTTGAAGTTCAGCACCATAGCCATGATATACCTCTGTTTTCTTCTTCTGCTCCACCTTCTTTTGATTTTTTCATCTTTTTTTGTCGAAGTTTGGCAAGTCTTGCCTCTAAGACAGCCTTTCGTTTTTCCTTTATGTTTTCTCGTTTCGTTCTCTGATCTGTTGTCTGAACAGAAAATCAGAATATTATTTACTTGAAACTAAATTTGCAGTATTCCCATTCAAAAAGATGAAATTTTCTAAAAATAGACTAGTTAACTAATCTTCAGGCCACCTCTAAGAAGCTATTCTTGAGATCCTCACAATGAAGCCCTATGAAGTACTCTTATACAAACCCTCTGATGTCTTACAAAGTTTCATAAGGGTTCACAGAGCATCTTGCAAGCCTTAACATTCAAGAAATCCAAACCATTCCTTTCTACACCTTAATCCCTTAAATAACTTTCTATTTTCCCATCCAAGCCACTCCAAAAGTACCACATTTGGCACCAGATTTATTTGTAAGCAGTTATAAAGTTTGAAATGCAAGAACAGTAATGCAACTACCTTTATGCAATTCTGAATATCAATTTTAATTTCTAATTAATTTACTAAATTTTTCTGCAGTATGGTCCAGCAAGAAACCAACTGCTCACATCCGCTTGGGATTTATGTGTACCTGTTCACGCAGCATCTCTAAGGTTTTCATTTGCTTGTTTCTCAGCTCTTTGTCTCGGGCAAAGGCAAAATAACCAACGCCAAGCTGCCGGGCCTCTGAAAGAAGTCCAAATTACCCAAAAGATCAGACTGTCCTGATACTCAACTACACTCAAGCCACATTTCCTACCAAAGCAAAAAGAAACAGTGATATTTGGCACAAGTTTTAAAAATAAAAAGAAAACAGCTAAGCAAAAAACAAAAAAGCAAAGAAACACAAATGTTAGATCAAGTTTTTGTCCTGTTTGCCTAGGGAAGCATAACAAAGGGTCATTTGCTTTCAGTCATGGGCTGTCTCCACTTCTCTTGGGGAACAATCCCTTGGATTACCAGACCCTCTGTCAGGAAGATATTCCCAATGTGAGTATTTAAAAGCTATAAAGTGAACAAAGGAGGTATTTTCAATTTCCAAAGCAGGATCTTTAATTTCCACGTAAGAGCTATTGCTTTATGAATACTTCCCTTTGAGTTTGCCATCAGTTTAAGATTAAAAAAAAAGATTTGCAAAGCTGCAAAAAATAGTCATACCATTTTCCCGAATGTCTTCATAATGTATGGGCCCCATGGGCCTCTTCAGGGCCTCCCTTTCTTCTTCCTCCCATTGCTGGCGCTGAAGTTCTTTTCTCATATCTTCAGATAATAGGGTTTTTTCATTAGCAGGACTAATAAAACTAGCAGGAAAACAGAGCAAAAACTATCTTCAGATAAGGACTAAGATATCAGTTCTTAAGTACAGTCAGTTGGATCACGGATAAATAACACTATTTGATAAAGAATACATGGAACTAGGCCAGGCGCAGCAGCTCATGCCTGTAATCCCAGCACTTTGGGAGGCCGAGGTGGGCAGATCACAAGGTCAAGAGATCCATACCATCCTGGCCAACATGGTGAAACCCCGACTCTACTAAAAAACACAAAAATTAGCTGGGCATGGTGGTGCATGCCTGTAGTCCCAGCTACTCGAAAGGCTGAGGCAGGAGAATTGCTTGAACCCAGGAGACAGAGATTGCAGTGAGCTGAGACTGCGCCACTGCACTCCAGCCTGGTGCCTGGTGACAGAACAAGACTCTGTGTCAAAAAAAAAAAAAAGAATACAGGGAACTACAGGCTTCTAAACTTCTACAGAACTGAGGCTTCTGACCCACGATACTGCTGGGAAAACCAGTAAAACAGCCTTCACCTTTCTTTCTTTCTTTTTTTTTTTTGAGACTAGTCTTGCTCTGTCACCCAGGTTGGAGTGCGGTGGTGCAATCTTGGTTCAATCTCAGCTCAATGCAACCTCCGCCTCTCAGGTGCAAATAATTCTCCTGCCTCAGCCTCCTGATTAGCTGGGATTACAAGCGCCCATCAACACATACAGCTAATTTTTATATTTTTAGTAGAGATAGGGTTTCACCATGTTTGCTAAGCTGGTCTTGAACTCCTGACCTCAAGTGATCCGCCTGTCTTGGCCTCCCAAAGTGCTGGGATTACAGGTGTGAACCACCTCACCCGGCCAGCCTTCAACTTTCTTAATCAAGCACCATTCTCGTTATATTAGCATGATAGCATCTTGCATAAGCACTTGAGAAAAAAACTTTCCTTTCACAGAGGTCCCAGGCTGAACAGATGAGAGGAGGAACTCTGGGACTCCTATAGATGGTCTCTCATCCAGAGACATGAAAACTGCTTAACACTATGGCCTGGGCGGTGTATCCTGTCCTTACAGATAGCTGGGCCCTGAGAGGCTCAAGGTTTCTACTCTCCCTTTCTTGTGCCAAGCCAAGGGCTACCTGCAAGATGCCTGAACCTGGAGAACTCAGACAAGGTAGAGCTTCTCCCAACACTTACCACAGGGACTCCAAAGTCCCTGTGGTAAGAGGAATTTATTCCCTTGGATGTTTTAGAGTTATCTCTTTAGGTCTTGTGTTTTAGAGTTATCTCTTAGGTCTTAGGCCCTGCTGAAAAATCTAGTTATAAGGCTCTTACTTCAAAAATGCAACAATGCATAAAGAAAAAGTGAATAAGCTCTTTCCCTGGAGGCACTTGCTTGTGGGATAATCAAGCGCATATTCTCAAACCACTTTCTCCACAATGGCTGGTTTGCTGGTTTCGGCTTATTCTATACATGTTACTCTGTAGTCAGGCATCCTTCCAAGTGAAAGAGACAGCTTCTACTCATCCACCAGTCATCAGGCTGTTCCCCAAGTGTGGATTATGTGTGTGTATGCATGCTAACCACTAAAAAGTGCTTCAGTAAATATTGACACACACATATATACATATATGTATGTACATATGAATATACATGTGTGTATACATATATGTATGTATGTATATATATATATATATATATATATAGATGTATGTATATATAAATATCTTACTGGAGCAATGGAGATCATTAATTATAAAACAGCCCCCTCACAAAACAATCCCTGTGGCTGCATTTCAGACCTGAGCAGAGCTCTGCATACACACACACTTACAGTCTCCCCTGAAGATTTTTATCCATCTCCAGCAGATCTGGCAAATCCTTTCTCATACAGCGCCGGGAACGTCCCAAAGAGTCCACATAATCCACCCTGAAATGAAAGTGAAAGGATATGAAGAACTTGTACACATATACAAATCCCTAAGTCAGGGAGTTGGTGAACAGTGAAGATAGGCCTCACTACCAAGAAGAGCCCCTCAACCTAAGAGACCACTACCACTGACAGGAATATGCTTTTTAAAGTTGACACACAATAAACCCACTGTGCCCTTTAGTAAACATTAGTTTTAGAAACTATTGACAATAATTTTGATCATTTATGAACTTACTTTAATCTAGCTGAGACAATTCCAGATATTTATCAGTATCTTTTTTTTGAGATGGAGTCTTTCTCTGTTGCCAGGCTGGAGTGCAACCTCCACCTCCTGGGTTCAAGCGATTCTTCTGCCTCAGCCTCCCGAGTAGCTGGGACTACAGGCACGTGCTATTTATCAGTATCTTAATAACTTTGTCTTGTGCCTGAGATTCTCAACTTGCTCATTTTCTCACAGTCTTCAAGTCTGACTTTTTATTCGCTCTCTTATTTCCTCTAATTAGTATAATTCTACCCAATGTATTAGCAATTTCTTAATGTAAGAAATTCACAGTATTTTTCAGAGTTGGACTCTTCTTAATTAGGAGGAAGCCAAACACCACACCTCTCTCCTCATCTCTGCTCAAACTAGACAATAGTGAGACAGCTAAGCCATGCAGATAGCAAGGCAAAACGAAATATTCTGACTTTCTACAATAGAAAATATGGACAGATTTTCATGAAAAATATCTCATTTGCATTATGATTCAACAGATATTTTACTTTTTAAATTATGGGCTGATAATCTCCTACAGCCTTTAGCAGGGTACTGAATACACAGTAAGGGTCCAATAAATACTAGCTGGCAGACCAATTCAGCTAGGTATGTGACTTTGCTTTTGTTAGCAATTTTTTTTTCCTCTCAAGCAATGCTGATTTCAATTGTTAGTTGTGATTTAAAAACTGAGTGTTTACTCCAGTACTGAAGCTGATTATCACAAGAAATAAAACCTCTGACTGCAGCAAGCAGTTTCTTTCTTTCTTATTTTCTTCCCATATGGATGGGGGAAGAAAACCATCTAGCCAGATGGTCTGTGTAATTATTTACAGTATCTTTATGGAAAGATTTTCTACCACCTGGAATTTAACTACCAAAAGGATTTTACAAGCAATTACAATTCTGGAGCTTAATTTAAAAACAAACAAAAAAAAGTGTTAGAACTGCTTGCAGTGCGTCTTCCTTCACCATATGGTGGCATGTGACACCTTCAATTGCCCTCCAAACTCTTCAAATCACTGGAAAATTGCTTGTAATCACACAGGCATTAATAAGCAAAAATTTTTAAAAAGACATTAGACCTTTCAAAGGAGATGAGATTTCTGTTATGAAAAGCAATCATAGACTATTGTTTCTGGAGAAGGCCTCCAAAACATAAAGATCCCACTAAATAGAAGTGGCAAGACAGGAGCCAACCATGGCTCCACCTAATCAAGCAATCACCCTCTAAGCAACCCCTGCAGGTAAACAAAGCTTTCGTCAGGCAAGGAAGGTAATACAGGCGGACTAACAGCCATGCCATGTTTCAAGGGTCTGGGGAAGTTAAGGCACACACCCATGAAACACTTATTAACAACACTGGGTATATAAAGACTACCAAAAGTTTGCTAAAATTTTTTTCTGATAATGAGGCCTGGTATGTGTCAATAATAAATGAAAGGTAATACCCGAAGAGCAGGAAGTATAGTAAGTGCTACCTGACTTCAGATGAGAAAGCAATCACTTAGAGATTAGAAATGATAGGCCAGGGATGGTGGTTCACACCTATAATCCCAGCACTTTCGGAGGCCCAGGTGGGAAGATTGTTTGAGCCCGGGACTTCAAGAAGAGCCTGGGTAACATAGTGAGACCTTGTTTCTACAAAAAATAAAAATAAAAAACTGAGGCAGCAGGATTGTGTCAGCTCAGGAGGTCAAGGCTACAATGAGCCATGATCACGCCACTGCACTCTCACCTGGGTGGAGACCCTGCCTCATAAATAAATAAGAAAGAAAGAAAGACATGATGAAGAAAGGCATCAACAGAAGAGACTCATATGTTCTCTTTTGGTTCCTTATAGCTTGCAGCCTGTTCCAAGTGGTATCAAACTATTTAGCTATAAGTTTTTAAGAAAGTAGGTAAGACGACACCTGTTTTATCCCAATGAGAATGTTATTTCTGAACCAACACGGACACCCTCAGTGGAATGAAGATGCAGTTTCTCTGCCATCCACAGTAGCCGGGACTGCTCTCTTCAGCGCATCAGTGACTGCCCACAGGGTCAAAGGCTGACAAAAGATCAATGCATGCTGCAGAGTCCTGAGCAGTTCCTAACAAATGCCCGCCATGATGAAGATATCTGCACTTTAAAGGGAGGATGAGTAGGATCCCAAAGGCAAGAGGGTGGGTTCCCAGGAAACTGTCAGAGCATCAGTAGAGCTCTCAGCAATTTCAAGCGCTGTGGAACAAGCTTCCAAACAATAATACCTTAGGTAGAAAAAAACCATTGTAACAGAATTCCCATTCTGGTCTCTCTACTTATGGATACATTAAGTCTGTTTAAGGAAAAGACTAGTTTTCACCTACATATAGGCAAAATTCAGGAAAATGTCAGTAATAAAGGTTTACAAGATGCCTTTTTATACTTCACAGGCAGCACTTTCTTGTGTAGCCCAGAATGCTCTTACTATTTGAAGGGAGTTTCAAGCAAAGGAATAAGGCATTATAATCTCTGTTTTACAAGGGGAGATCCTGAGCCTCAAAGACTGAGGAACCTAATTAGGATCATACATCCAGTAAAAAGTGCGGCTAGAGCCGTCCAAGGCCCATGGGCCCACACCACACTGCCAAACAACGTCACAGCCGGAGTAAGACATACTGCACCACCTCTGCCAGCTTCCTTCTCCTAGATGATGACTCTCCACCATGTCAGAACAAGGACATGCGTAAGGCAGCAGGACAGGTACAAAAGGAAGGCGCTCTGCCCACACTGCTTCATGTTAGTGAGTCAAGCAAACCAAGTCTGCCAGCCACAAAGTCTCCCTGAGCCTGGCACAGGGCGGGGCACACAGCAGGAGCCCAGTCAGTAGTTATAATTCTTTGTAATTATTGTAATTATGTCTTCATTTGAGCTACTGTTTTTACATCTATAATAACCTAATCCAATCTAACTTAAAGGGAAGTCTCAAAAGAAAGAACACCCGGGAATACCAGAGAAATGGCTTCACAACAACCCAACAAAATCACTCCCAAAATGTCGCACAAGTCTGAGGATGTTCCTCTGAGCTAATCCATGATATAACCAACCATTCTTCGCTGGGGTCTTGGGGAGGAGGGATCTCTCTCTCAGGAAGGTTTTCCTCATCATCCTCGCTTTCTCCTGCCTTTTGAGAATCTCTACGGGCACCAGATGCCTCCATTTCTTTGCGCTTGTCTATGATCTTCTGCGTGAAATCCACAAGGTACATATCCTCCACTTCTTCATCTAGGACATAAAATCAATTTTCAGACATCAAAGAGTAAAATCACACATGGAATTGACAAGAAGCAGTCACATTCATTGCCTGGTGGCCCTATCACCCCGACAGCTCCACTCCCCAAACGTTTACAAAGACACAGAGCCACCTTGGGAATTGACATATACTACACAAAAAAATCTTGAGAAAGCCTAGAGTTTTCTGTTGCCTCATCAATACACTACCTGAGTGACCAGTATCATCTTAGAATGTCATTTTAAGATAACACAACAGTCTGATTTTATGTAATTCATCCAACCAACTATATCATACAGAAGCAAAACTGAATTTTCCATGTCATCAGATCAGGACAGCAGAACTTCTTGCTTTAGGTGTTATATATCTGTCTAAAATGTGGGCTGGATCACTAACTCTGATTACATTGTTGTGGTATGGTGTTTTAAAGATCATAATACAGGTAAAATAAGTCATATGAGTTCTTATCAAGCCAACAATAACCTAATCCAATCTAACTTAAAGGGAAGTCTCAAAAGAAAGAAACACCAATTCTAGTCATGGAGCCAAGCCCTGAATGGCATACAGATATGAAAGACGCCCTCAGCCCACAAGGCTTATGGTCCACTTGAGGAGCTAAAACCCACACTGAAAGTAAAACAACAATCCGTGACTTACCTAATTTAACCCAGGATAGCTCATATAGCACAAATAATGTATACCTAAAGTTTCACTTCACTGGATTTAGGACAGTCATTTGAGTCTTTTTTTCCAAGGACAGAGATTAAGCTATATTGAACCAACATTAGGCTCCCTATTACAAGCAGTGGTGTTTTCCCCACTTTAGAGTGAAGAAAAACTGAGGCTCCAGAACATAACTTGGCCAAACTTGCAGGTCTAACATATCCATTGGGAGGTGGGCTTTCTGGTTTTGACAAAATCAGGTCTCTACACTCACACCCCTTTGGATCTGATTTCTATATTAACAATATAAGCAAAATTTGAGTCAAAAGAGAAAAAGACTTTAATAAAATAAAGTTATTTTTAAAACCACAAAATAACTGAAATGAAAGGGAGATGTAGTCTGAGCTATCAGGCCATAGCTAGCGAGGCCCCCTGGTAGGCGGCCATCCTGCTGCCTCTTCAGGAAGAAGGCAAAGCCTCTCCCACACTGCCTAGCTTTGCTGAGTGCCTGACCTTCCTGTGCTGGGCTCTTGTTGTACAGGGAAAGTGCCCCTGCTGCCTGGAAAGAAGCGGCCAATGACCTAGGGTCAGCCTGGCCTCTTTCCTATTGCACCTGGGTCCCAGCCATGCTAGGCTAGGTGCCTCGTTGGCCTCTGGCCCTGCCCTTCCTCGGCTGGTCTGCTCACCAATCTACCCCTGCAGGATCCCTGTCTCCAGCTTACCAAAGCTAAGCCCACCTTCTCTCAAAGACTTCCCTGATTACATATTCACTTTCCCTGCCTTTTAGCAATGAAATAGGCATGGCCTCATAAAATCTCTTCTACTATTGTCTAATTATGGATTGGGATTTTTATGTGGGTATGAGAAAAGGGAGTTTTTTGTTTTTGTTTTTTAGGGACAGGGTCCCACTCTGTCACCCAGGCTGGATCATAGCTCACTGCACCCAGGATGTGGTGGCATAATCAATATAACCTTGAACACCTGGGCTCAAGCCTCAGGCTCCTAAGTAGTAGGACTATAGGCATAAGCCACCATGTCCAGCTTATTTTTAAATTATTTTTTTGTAGAGACAGAGTCTCACTATGTTGCCCAGGCTGGTTTTGAACTCCTGGCCTCCCAAAGTGCTGGAATTACAGGTGTGAGCCACTACACCCAAATAGGTTTAAAGCAATTATATGCACATCACAGGGGGAAAAAAAAAATAGAAAAAAGAGGGAAAATAGGGAAAGAAGAAACATAACTATAGAACCTGACAGAACCACAATTCCGCCCAGCCCCACCCACCCCGTTTTAGCACAGCGATAATTGTAGGTTAACTGCAACCTACTCAGACCTTGTTCCCTAACTTTGCTTTGTGCTGTGCCATTTTCCTCCGCTGGACGATCCTGCCTTGAGGGCAGAGGCAGAGGATCTGCTTCCAGTATTTGTTTGTCCCCTCTTAGGTACCTAACATGCTGCCAGGCATCCACCAGACAATTGGTAAATATTGCTGATTTTCTTGTCTCTGTGCAGCCACAGAAAGTAAAATTTTGATGTCTAAATTTTCCATCTACTCTTAGTTATTTTAACAAGTAATGTAATATCAAAGGTCTGCATGAATTACAGAAAGTGAAGTAGAAATAAATAATTTTATTTACCTATAAAGTCTCCTTTAGTCATTTTTTCATATAATTTGGCTTTTTCTTCCAATTTTTCCCTAGGAGAAAAAAAATACAAATATTAGAAATGGTCTTATAACTGTCCCTCCTGGTTGCCCCCACACTCCCTACCTGACAGGCACCATCTGTCCATTAGGCCCAGCCTGTCAAGGCGACCACAACTAGCACAGTCCACACCATCCTGAGGAGACCCTCAGACCACCCTGCCCCATGTCTGCTCTGCTAAGGAAAACACAAGCTTCATGAGTGCATGGCCCGTATTCTCTCATTCATCACTGGGTCCCAGGGCCTAAAATAATATCTGGCACACAATAGGTTCTCAATCAATATTTGATGAATGAATAAGTGAATAAACTGACTTAAGCTTCCAACAACTTAACTGCCAACTTAAAACAAACATTAGCATTCCAACAAAGCAGCCTCTCGGCTCACAGTAATTCTGATATTTTTCAGTGGTCACAGACCATGAGAGGGTAAGCAATTCTTTATTCTGGAAATACTTAATGATGGTAAAGAGAAGCCCCAAAGAGGTCATCTGAGAGTTCTCTCATGAATGATCACTCTTAATCATGTCAGAAACATTCCTCTTTTATTTTACACATCCATTCACCAAGTACTTATTGCATACCTCCTACCTGCCAAGCACTGTTTTAGGCACTGAGGACTCACAGCCATGCTAGGATAGGTGACTCTGTTGACCTCTGGCCCTGCCCTTCCTTGGCTGGTCTGCTCACCAATCTACCCCTGCAGGATTCCTTTCTCCAGCTTGCCACTAAGCCCACCTTCTCTGGGAGTTTCTATTCTAGAGACGGAGGACAATAAACAAAGCAATGAAAAGGAGGATCTGAGACAGTAAGAGGAGCTGTGAAACAAACAGACGCATGCCAGCAGAGGCCCCTTGACATGCAGTAATGCAGTGTGTGGTGGACCGGCTCACTCATATCAGGCTTCTAAGACCCCTGCTTTGGAGGGCTCTTAATGTAACTAGCTGGGTCATCAGAGGATCTTCCTGTTTTAATGAAAACAAAACAAAACAAAATTTACAGTCAAACAAAACACGAAGCAACAAGCGTCAGGTTAGAGTGAGTGGGCGGGACACTAACTGAGAGGGGCAGTCAGGAGAAACCTCTCTGAACATGACAACTGAACTATGGCTTCTACAACAAGAAGCAGCCAACCACGGGAGGATTTGCGGGCAGGGGAGGCAGGTAAGAAACAGGAAAGATTAAGTGAGAATGAGCTTGACATGTTCAAGAAAGAGGGACAAGTAGAGCAGAGGGTGCTGAGCAAAAGAGAGAGGGTGCAAAACGGAGACAGAGGCAGCAACGAGGGCACATGAGAAAGGATACGAAGCTTGGTGCAGTGTCGCAACAGTTTTCAGGGATCAGGAACAGTCTACAAGTGGATAATCAAGATCAAGGAAGGTGTCAGAGAAATGACCGCTGGATTTAGTAGATGAAGATGTCACTAGTGACTTGAAAGAACAATTTGTTCTGGTGAGTTAGAAAGATGGAATTCAGAGCATGAGAGCAGGGACACTACCTGCAACCCCTAAGTGCCACACACTATGTATCTCCTTTAATTCCCCAAAGGACTTTGTAAGCTAAGTATTAACCACCTCACTTCATAAAGAAAGAGTCTTAATGGATAACTAACTTGCCCAAGGCCTTCCACCTCAAAAAAGCCTGGGACTGGGCTTGCATGTTCTGAGCTCTGGAGGGAGGAAGATGTACTGCAGATGTCTTGACTCCCACAGCACAGCAAAACCAAAGTGCCACATAAAAGTTACTGCACAGAAAAAGCACAGCAAAGTGCCAAGAAAAACTCTTGATACGCAGAGTAAAATAATAAAAGATCATGAAACCTTTGGACAAAATTAACATTCTGAGAATATGTCCAAGAGTGGAAATATGTCTCAAAACTGATCATATCTTTAAGTAAAGCCTGAGGTCTGCTGGAGACAGGTCAAATGCTAAGAAAAAAGTCCCCAAATAGGCTAATATTCTGTCTTCTATTTTCAGACCCAAGACTGTTGAGCAACCGTGGCAACTACTGTTTGCAACTACAGGAATTTTATTATTCCGTATATCCAAAAGCACACATAACAGTCATACCAAACATTGTAACTTGGGATTTTCTCTGAGGGTGATGCTGTCTTTTCTTTAGAAAAATAATAAAGATGGAATGACAGAATTAGAAAAATAATCATTCTGAAACCATCAATGTGATAACTGGTAACTATCAAGGCTCATCAATGATGACAGATCATTGCATAGAAAACCAGTTGGTAAACAGGATATTCACACAGTCTCCAAATTTCCCACTTCAGATTACTACTAATTACAAATCAGGGAGGCACCTTTACAATGGAGAAACCAAGCACACATACCTCAACCAAGTAATTAAACTCATCATCACCAATAATGACTCAAACTGACCTTATGAGCCTCCTGATGTGATTCAATGGGAAGGACACACCACCATCTATGCAGTATTCTTACCAAAAACATTTCATGTGACTCTTATTGGTTGTGGGACATTGCAGAAATAACTGGCCTGGACCCTTTAAAAATGTTAATGGCATAACAGACAACCAAAAGGTAAGGAAACTGTTCCAGATTAAAGAAAACTAAACAGAGATGACAACTACATACAATGTATATATAATCTTTGAATCCTGGATTAAATTTTTTAAAAAATCTATAAAGTATATAATTATACTGGGACAAATGGTGAAACCTGAATATGGACAATAAAATAGATAATACTATTTTATCAGTATTATATTTCTTGGGTATGATAGCGGTATTGTGGTTATGTAGGAAAATGTCCTTGTTCTCAGAAGATATATGCTGAATGATTTAGAGGGAAAGTGTGATGCTTAACAAAGTCTCTCTCTATACGTATGTGTGTGTGACAGAGAGAGACAGAGGGACAGCACATTTGACAAGATGTTAACTGGGGAATTTAGGTGAAGAATATTATAATGTTCAATGTACCCTTGAAGTTTTCAAAATAAAAGGCTAGGGAAAACATCAAGGGTTTCCAGATTGTAATGTCATCCCACCTAGCTCACACCATGGGGAACCACACCATGGGGACACTTTTTAGAAATGTGTGATAATCTTAGTGTCTAACAAAGGCTGGAAGCAGGAATGTTTCACCTTTTAAACTATGACTATGTCTAATCTTTTTATAAGACTACAGATATATCTGCAAATTATATTATTTTTAGAGTACTTATAGGGTACTGAGCTAGAAGGATGTTAAAAATAAAATTTGTAACTTGAACAAAATTTGAACTTCCATTTCTTTGCCTGGGTAGCCTCAAAGGTAACTACATTTACCAGAGCTTATAACTTTACCTTGCTTTGTCTAAAGTCTTCTGTTCCTCAATCTTCTGTTCAGCATCCTTCTCAGCTCGATTTGAAACGCCTACATTCTGTTTGCTCCAGATACTTGGTTTCTGGAGAATAATTTTAGAAGACAAAATAGAGCCACATGATTACCAAAAATCTCTACTTGTGCATCAAGAAAAAAAAACAAAAAAAAAACAAAGGAGATCATGAGATCTTATGAATCAACGGAGATAACTAGATAAGCTGTGTCCTACAAAGATGCTGACTATACATGGCAAGCAGGAGCTGAAAAAAGAGCCCTAAATTATATAACAAACTTTTAATTTTATTTTTATTTTTTTAAGACAGGATCTCACTCTGTCACCCAGGCTGGAGTGTAGTGGTGCGATCTCAGCTCACTGCAGCCTCAACATCCTGGGCTCAAGTGATCCTCCCTCCACAACTTCCCAAGTAGTTGGGATTACAGGTGTGAACCACCACACCCAACTAATTTTCTGTAGAGATGGAGTTTTGCTACGTTGCTCAGGCTGGTCTCGAACTCCTGGGCTCAAGTGATCTGCCTGGCTCAGCCTTCCAAAATGATGGGGTTAGAGGTGTGAGCCACCATGCCCAGCCTAAAGAACTTCCTTTATGAGTGTAGAATCACTTCCTGCTATCTTTTATCTCCTGAATGATTACAACCTAAGTCAAGATTAACAAAAATATACATATTACAGAGAATTACTAATACAAATAGTAGACAATATTGCCTACAAAACTGAAAAAAATCATTCCCAGCTCTCAAACACCCTAATATTTTCTGCTATATTCCTGTATTATCTAATTATTTATCTCTATCTGGATACATAACACCTATATAACCAGATAACCTTCCATGAGAAATGTAAACAATCCACAGTTTTCCAAAAGAAGTGCTAGAGTTAGCACATGACCATGTACTTTTACATAATCTTACTAATTTCTATTTTAATAACATTTCATGCAGATATTCAAATACAAGATAGATTTTTCCTTAACATTTATGTGTATAGATACCACTGACAATTTTAAAACACTTATAATTCTCCCATGTTTGGAACCAGTGGAGATAATTAGATCTTATTTTTTACCTTATTAGTTGTTTTTGGTTTTCCAAAAACACCAGAATCTTTTAGAAGTTTTTCTTGTTTGAATTCTTCTTGTTTTCGGAAGAGTTCAGCCTTAAGATCTACCAACTAGAATAAAAGCAGTAAGTAAACAAAAATATTTTATTAAATTGTTTAAACATAGAATCCAGTATAAAAATTAAGCTAAGTTATGTTTCATTCTACCTCTGTTGCAAATGCATTTCTATTCAACACTCAAAGCTTTCCTTAGGCAAGGAGAAAGTGATAAAGCAAAAGAAATTAATGAAGTGTGCATCTTTTAGTTTCAGATTACACTTGCATTATTCAGTACCTTCTCTCTGAATAGCACTGCATTCATTTAATCATCACAACTTATTATTTCTACAGGGAAATGCTGTTATTTCAACACTATCTGAGCAACCCAGTTTGCTCATGGCACTTAACAATGAAGAGCAGGATACAAACGTGATTTAGACATTCTCCCTGCCTCAAAGAGCCTACAATGTAACAAGGAAGGTAATTTATAATACCAGTAAAATGTAACAAATGACTCTAGATTGGAAGAAAGTAGCACACAAGTTCAGATAAGGGAGCATTTCCTTCTGAGCAGAGTGATCAGAGAAAGCTTTGAACAGAGCCTTTAAAGACACATTAGTTTAACTGCTACAAATAAAACAGACTTGGTGAATTACAACAGCTCCACGTTTTACTTAATCCATTTCAAAAACCGTAAGTTTGGCTGAATCACATGTTCAAGAACAGGAAAGAAGGTCAAGGCAAAGGGAATGGGGCAGTTGGATGAATATTGGTGCCTTTCCCTCAGCTACATTAGTTGCCCCTGCCTATGCTGCAAAAAAAGAACATAATAACAGTTTCCTTTTTAAAGGTCCAGGTACAGCTGCTTATATGGTTGGGCATTTGTAAATCGGACACTTAATCACTGACTTAATCATCAGATATTTTAAAAATCACTTTATTTTTTAAGGAAAATGAAAATGGCTGAGTTCAATTTCCATTCTGGAAGAAACTGATTTAAAAGGTAACCATTTAATAATGCAAAGGGCAGTTTCATTGCAGACCCTAATATTGTAAATTCTTAAAAATAAATGAAAAACTTCTTTTTTCTTCTAAGCTTACCTAACCACGCCAATTTTCCAGCCACATATTTTCCTATTCTACAACTGCCTTGGACTTTAAAAGATGCTCAAAAAATTGTAAATTCGCAAATAGCATTCTTATTACAATTATTGCTAATTTTGGACTGTCAGGATAGGTTGGCTTTAATATTTATAGTTTTTTGGCTCCCGATCTTCAAACATAATAATCAATGCCAATTTTCAGTATTAGACAAGGAAAGGGACTCGAATATTGGAACACCTGTATGTTTTCCTTCGTATTCCCTTTGCGTCCTAATACCACCGTAAATTCAAGATTAAATCAAAGGTTGGGCAATTTGCTCCGATGATGAAAAGGCAGCAGCTTTGGAGTCAGCTAGACTGAGTGATCAAGGGTCTATCACTAAGATTTTTTGAGATGGAGTTTCGCTCTTATTGCCCAGGCTGGAGGGCAACAGCGCGATCTTAGCTCACCGCAACCTCCACCCAGGTTCAAGCGATTCTCCTGCCTCAGCCTCCTGAGTAGCTGGGATTACAGGTGTGCGCCACCACGCCTGGCTAATTTTTTATACTTTAAGTAGAGACAGGGTTTCTTTCTCCATGTTGGTCAGGCTCCCGACCTCAGATGATCCGCCCACCTCGGCCTCCCAAAGTGCTGGTATTACAGGCGTGAGCCACCGCGCCCGGCTATCGCTAAGATTTCTGTATGTAAGCTGGGGAAAGCGACTTCATCTTTCTGGGCCTCAGTTTCATCATCTATAAAACGGAGATATTCATAGCACCTACCTCCTAAAGCTATTGGGAGGGTTCAATAAGATAGTGCATATAAAGTGCTGGCACAAAATATGTACTTAGAACAAGTTTTCTTTCTAGAGTAGCTACTTTAATAAAACTGCTTACATCCTTTCAGGCCTCACAGGTACCCATGGCTACATTAACAACTGTTTAGTTCCAGGGTGGGATACGCTGGGCACTCTCGGGTCCTGCAGAGTAAATCACACTCTAAAGTTCTAGAAGGACTTTGGGGGTTCCTGGATTGGAGGAGAAGCCTAGAAGGGGGTATGTCTGCCTAGCAAAAAGAGGCTAGGGTTCTTCCCAACTGTAAGGGAGAAGGCTGGCGAGGTGCAGGTCCTTGCGGGCAAGGCAGAGGGGAGGCCCGGAGATTCGTAACCCACGGGAGACCAGGTTCAGACCCATGTCTGAAGGGTGAAGGTTGGTCCAGGTGCAAACCAGAGGAGAGAAGCCCAGTTCAGGATCCTGTAAGTAAGAAAACTGAACCGCATCCCCGTCGGAGAAGATAAACCACGTCGGAGGTTCCTGTTTGAGGGGAGAGGTGTCTGGGTCCCCAGACAAGCTAGGTCTACATTTTTGTCTGACGAGACAGGGAGAATCCGGAGCCCGTGGCGTTACCACACACCCTCACTCACCGAGGAGGCCGTGACGTCCAAAGGCTTTTTCCTCCGGTCCATGGTCGTGTCGGAGTGTCCCGGCCCCAAAAAGGACCCTTCCGATCCTCCGCAGACCTCGAAAGCCTGCCTCCGTCGCAACCGGAAGTGTCTTCGATAGCGACACTGAGTTTGCGTGAGTTTGCGACGCGAGTTTCTGAGCTCGACGCCATCTTGAGAAGGTCAGAGCATGATGCGTATTGCCTTTGCCACCATTTTGGAAAGGTCAGAGTGTGCGGAGGTTGACGCTAACTGATAAGGTCATCTTGAGGGCGAAAGGTAACAAGGGTTAGTGTGGGCGCCATGTTGAGAAGGGCCAGATACAGCTTTTGATAGTAATGGACGCCATATTAGGTGGGGCGGATGTGGGATTGGGGACAAAAATAACGCCATCTTGGGGAAGGCTGACGCTTGAGTGAGTGAACTCTTAGCGTCTCGGAAAACGTGGTTTGGGAAGACCCGAAGAATTTAACTACAATTCGAGGACCTGCTGTCTGGCACTTTTCAACGTTAAATAGTTGGCTCTTACAAGAGCGTACGAGACAAGGATTATCATGTTAATCTTAGCAGAAATATCAATAATAGTAGCTAAGAACTACATTACTATAGTGCTTATTATGTGCCACTTTAGATATTTCAACTCTTAACGTGAACTCCAAAAAAAAAGAAAAAAGGACGTGAACTGCATCTTCACGGCTTACTGCCTACGTGACCTTGAGCAAGTTACTTAACTTCCCTGTGTCTCAATTTCCAAAGGGGGATATAATTTTATTAACCTCATGGGTTTTAGTGAGGATTAGATGAGTTAAATGAGCTAGTCTTGATAAAAATGTTAATGATTATGGTAAACAGACTAATCACCCTCACCCCCACTCCCAGATGTCTACCTATTCTGGAATCCCCAGAATCTGGATATATGGCGACCTTTATTTAGCAAAAGGGAATTGGCAGACATTATGAAGTTAAAGCTATTGAGATGGGAAGCTAGCCTTGATTGTGTGATTGTGCAGGTGGGTTCCCTGTCATCACAACCATCCTTATAAGTGGGAGACAGGAGGGCCAGGGTCAGAAAGAGAGATCAGAGATGCTTTGGAAAAGGGAGAAGGGGACCACATGTCCAGGAATGCAGAAGGCCCCTAGAAAAAGCAAAGAGATGGACCCTCCTCCGGAGTCTACAGAAGGAATGCAGCATTGCTGACACGGTGATTTTACCCTGTAACACTCATTTCAGACTTCTGACTTCCAGAATTCTGGGAGAATACATTTATGTTGTTCTGAGCCACTAAACTTGTGGCAATTTGTTAACAGCAGTAAGAGGAAAGTGATCATAATGATTGTAACAGTAGCATTTAGTATATGTGTGTGACTCTTTGCATAGATTATATTATATAATCCTTGCAAGAATCCTAGAAGTGAAACTATTTATTATCCCCCATATTACAGAGGAGAAAAATAAGGCTCATCACATTCTCATCTCATCTTGGCTGTATGAAGAAAATGGGAAAAGGGAAACGGAGAGGGGCATTGAGGCAGCTGACTGACTGTGTTCAGTCTTATTTATTTATTTTTTCATTTGTTTATTTTTCCAAATCTGCCAGTCTCTGAAATTAGAACAGTAAGCAATATAAGATAATAGGGCCTAGTAATGTTGTGATTCTCTTTTCCTAGTGGAGTGGAATGTTCTGTCCCCACAAGAAGGATTATGCCTTATAGGCTTGTCTTGTTCAGATTCTGTATTTACCCATTTTATTGAAACACATACTAAATTCCATGTATTTTTGTTACAAATCTTCTGAAAGAAAATGTGAAACATTTAAACATATTAATAATAATTTTTTTAAAAAAAAGGAAAAGAAAAATGAGGTTAGTTGCTTAAATGGCATGCCAGAAGTCATTTCCCAGCTAGCAAGTGAGGGAGCCTTCAGTCAAAGAATAACTCAAAGATCAAGTTAATTATTTGCATGCTATTTATTTGTAAAGAGGAGAACCAATATGATTGATTTCATCTCAGAAAGTGAGGAAACGGTTTATATAGAAGAAGCTTCTAAACTATGAATGTTGGTTTTCTTGCCTAGCTAGCCCCTGGCAATGAGGCCAGTGAGTGTTCTGATCCTGAGAAGCTAGAAAGAAATTCTGGGCTGGGCACAATGGCTCAAGCCTGTAATCCCAGCACGTTGGGAGGCTGAGACGGGTGGATCACTAGGTCAAGAGTTCAAGACCAGCCTGACCAAAATGGTGAAACCCTGTCTCTACTAAAAATACAAAAAAATTAGGCAGGCATGGTGGCAGGCACCTATAATCTTAGCTTCTTGCGAGGCTGAGGCAGAGAATTGTTTGAACCTGGGAGGTGAAGGTTGCAGTGAGCCAAGATCATGCCACTGCACTCCAGCCTGGGCAATGGAATAAGACTTCATCTTGAAAAAAAGAGAAAAAGTAATTCTAGTTGCCTGTGAATGTCCCAGAAGACCATGAGAATTTAGCTTTCTCTGCATAATGGCTGATAGGGTCCTTGGTTGTCATCTCCATCTTAGCGATGCAGGTTTGCACCATCACCCTTGTCAGAAATTCTCCCTAGAGTGGCATCCAGCTGATGGCAGCCACCTCCCAAGCCACTTAAATCACCAGGAGCATGCTAGTGAGCCCTCTGTATTCCCAGGCTCACTCGTTTTGTGGGCTGCAAAAGCACAAAAAAACTTACATCTTGCATTGACCAGAATGCTCTCCTGGCATATAAATGATTTCTCACAGATTCCATTTCCTCAAATTCTCCTCTTCCTTTATGTGTTCCAAGTCTCTGGGTCTATCTGGAATTGCTTCCTCTACCAAGCACAAAAATTGAAGCCCAGCCCAGTATGTTCTTTACCCAGTCACCCTCTAAACACATGGACCTGGGTTTGTCCTAGAAGAAAGTGAGTGCAGGGACACCCTAGGCTGGTGAAATGAGCCCAGGATTTCCTCTGAGGCCACTAGCACTCAATCCCAGCTACATTCCTTCCTTTAGTTAAGTTGGGCACCTCCCATCTTCCCTCTGAGCCTCAGTTCTCTTGCCCAGTTGGGCACATAGGATGTTTGAGATAAAGAGTGTAGAAATGGTTTGCAAACTGAAAATGCTGTGCGCGCATCACTTGCAGGATAGTTCTGCTCAGTGCCAGTTTTCTCGAAGCAGACGGCGTGTGCACACCAACAGTCTCTGTTATGACACTGCATATTTTGCAGCGTTTTGACCTCCAGTTTGTCCTCACCTCTCATTGAGTCTGGGTGGGAGATCGATTATTCTTCCTTCTCATCTCTCATTAGATTTTAATTGTTTATCAAGTCTCCTAGGTGCTTTAAATAAAGGGGGAGAGAGGAATCCTTGTGAAACAGACAGCAATTATTTCCCCCTGAGCACAGCCACCAAGTCATGCTCTTATTTTGAATGATCTGCAGTCATTTTCCAACATGAAGCCTCATAAGGCTGGACTCACCGACTGTAGCCTGTGCTGCTATTGTAATGTTTTAGTCAGTGGTTAACTCAAGAGGTTTAATTTAGTCCCGGGCTCCTTTAAGCTTGTGAAAATGGTTTTTCTGCTTCCTCAAACTAAAAATGTATCTCTTCCCCATGTGTCCAGCCTGAAGCATCTTAACCTTTGTTCTATCTTCAACACCGATGGCTCTAACAATAAATTACTCAGCAGTGAATGAATTAGCTGAGTCCAATGTGTGAAAAAAGATTAGGTTGGACCTAGGAAAATTAGCTTCTGAGCACGGGCATAGGATGAGGCATAAAGATACCTGGACTTGTGCCCTGCATGACAAAGAAGCTAAGCTTTATTAGCATCAGGCATGACATCTGCCACTGGCATTATCTCGTTGAATTCCTGCAACAACCTCAGGGGCAGGTGCTATTATTATTCTCATTTTGTAGATGAAGAAAACTGAGACCCAGAGAAGGTAAGTAACTTGTCCAACGTCACACAGCCAGCCTTGGTCCCAGGATTTGAGTTGAGGCAGCCTAGCTCCAGGACTCCCACACTGTCTTGTCCTCCCTCACTGGATCTGAGACTATATTAGTTTTGCATTCACTTATTCATTGATTCAACTCTATTGGGGAAAGGGGAAATTTTATGGAGCTACCCCAGAACATTTCTGCAGGAGGGACCTGTCTTTAGGTCATTGCAAGCAGAGATGACTAAGGGAGTGAATGCCAGGAGCTCTGACCCATGCAAGCTAGAACTGGACAAGGATCATTTGGTAGCATGGAGAGCCCAGCTAAGCTTGCAAATCTGTAGTAACAGGATGGCCTATGGAGCTTTTTCTGCAGCCTGGAGTGCTTGAGGCTGTGGCTAAAAACAAGAGGTTCTAAAAACTATAGCCTCAAACTGTTAATGGGGTCCCACATGCTGACCCCCAACCTCAACCCAGTGGCTTACTATGAGTGGGAGAAGATGCTTTACGGTGCTGAAATCCACCTGGCCCTGCTACCATTTAGAGAGGCAGCAGGGCAGTGGGAGAGAGAGCCATCCACATTATGAGATGTTGGCCCTATAGAGAGGGACGGGAGGGACATTTCTCTAAACTCCTAAAGCCAAGTGAGGAACTCCAAAGATGAGGAACAGAGGTCAAATCAGACACCTGGTGATGTCATGGTGGGGGTGGGTGGGTCTCAAAGGTGACCCAGCTCAACCCAAGAAGTAGGGAGAAGTAGAGAAACATCACAGCAGAAGTAGGGAAAGCAGAGAAACATCACAGCTAGAAGCAGCCCTGGTTCCGACCCTTCTTCTTCGCCCTGTGTTAGTTTCTTAGGGCTGCCATAACAAAATATCAAAGACTAGATGGCTTGAAACAATAATTTATCGTCTCACAGTTGCAGAGGCTAGAAGTCCTAGATCAGCATCGCAAGGCCAGTTTCCTTCTGAAAGCTGCAGGGACCCTTCCTTGCCTCCCCCCAGCTCCTGATGCTGGTGGCAGACCTTGGCTCCAGTCCTGTCTTCACATGACCTTCTACCTGTGCCTGTCTTCACACGGTTTTCTTCTTACAAGGACATTGGTTATATGAGGTTAGGGGCCCACTGTACTCCAGTGTGACATCATCTTAACTGATTTCATCTGTCATGACCCGATTTCCAAATAAGGCCACATTCCGAGGTACTGGGGGTTAGGACTTCAACAGGTCTTCTTTCAGGGTAGGGGCACAA